TAAGCAAAGGGTGTATATTTCAATTTGTTAGGTAGTTTCAATAGTTTCCATTTGTGTCATAGCCATATTTTAAATTAACTCTATATTTAGAAAATGTGTACATGTACAATATGCATACAGTACGACTTTTGACTATATCGTTGACCATTTAAATTTTATTTCAAAGGTCAAGATGTACCAATTAATTAAATATAACACAAACTATTTCGAAATAAATCGTGTCTGCAATGTTTTACGACAAGACTATATATGTATAATTTTCAGTCAGAAGTAGTGAAATTCATCTGCAATAATCTATTTTACTGTCGTCGTTACCAATAACACATAAGCAAAAAATTATTATTCCTCACTTGAAAGTTTCAACCGGTTTTCACATATGTTTGAAGTGGGTTGGTGAATGTAAATTTCTGCAATTATTCTCTTTCATTTGCAAGATATATTTTTTATTTATGATTTGCAAATGTGTACATAATTTAAACCATCACAATTTCCTTTGGATCCTTCCGATCCACAACAATCCCCATATATATTGCCGAACAGGGTTGGAATAAGGGGCAAAGGTTTCATTTTACCGCACGATTTTACTGTGGTCGTGATTGATAATGATACCGAAGAGAAGCTCCGTTCATTGGAATTCGAACAAACGCTTGTTCTTTTACCATTCGTGCATAAATACAGATGAAACAAGTTTTCCATCGATTCGCAAGAGAAAATCCACTCATCCATGCTTCAGCAGCCTCAAGATCAGTCCACAATACAGTCAATTGATCATAAATTCCGCCCTGGTCAATGTTGTGCTATTGGCAGAGAGATGACAAGCACCCAAAGTCAAATTAATATGCTCTATCTTGTATTCTACTAGAATGCACGCATTTTTTTTGGTATATAGCTCCTCAATTTGTCTATATTCCACCATCATAATACACTGCATTATTCCTAATTTTTCCATTCCTTTTGCAAAAGGATACGATCAATCACATCGTATAACTTAAGGTACAAGAGAAAATTATTTAACTATTAAAACCATATGAACTGGATTTACGTGTGCTTTGAGATCTGCTGCCTTGAACTTCATCATTATGCCATCAAAAGGCTATTAGACTGCGTGATCTGATTTCCTGATAGATACAATAAACAGTAAAATCATTAAGGAAATCATAACAATTCACATTTCTATGATTGCAAACGAAGAGGTCTGTAAAAGTACAGTTTGAAAATCACTGTTCTTATGCGTGCGTGAAATGTGTAATCTGGACTCTGGACAGTAAATTGTGTAAAAATTCCGTGCCTATATCTCCAAAAGGAATTCTTCTTCTGTTTCTACAACTGTGACGATTTTGTCAAGATTAAGGTGTAAACATTATCCTAAATTTTCTCGCAAGGTCGACGAGATGCAAATCTTTTGCCAAATAGTGAAATTTTTTATCTCTCTGCCTCGGCCAATTTACATATGAATCACTCATCACATTCGTCTCATCAACCACTCTTCCGTGGAACTTTCCCTTTCGAATGTAAGGCGGAAAAGAAGAAGTCACGAGAAAATGACGATGTTACACTTTTCACGCGGGAATGAGATGATCACATTTGTACACATTGTTGACCACGTTCACAAAGCATTCAGACAATTATGTGGCTTGAATGGGGCCTCCAGAAATCAGAAAGAATGGCCTAAAGAAAGTATCAACAATGCATGCCGTATAACTTGGAAACTTACTAGTCATGCATCAGTGACTCGTATTAGATAGTATTCTAAAAATTAGCTGATGGTTTATCAATTTTAACAATCTCTCAAGACATGTTGGAGTAATTGTTTTGCACCAATAATGTGCCACTTGATAAATGGCTTGAAAGCCATTCCTCCAACAACCATCACTATTACATAACCCACCCGCAGACTGATTTTATATCACAGGTTTCTCAGTGGAAACTTTCGCATTTCACGTGGTGAACTCCTCTTCTCACTGTCAGAAATAACATCGCGAGCGCTTAACAATAAAAGAGGGAATGCTCCAACCCGTTTAATAATATAAATTGCTTTCTTCAAGCCTTGTGTGCGGATTCGCTCAGCAACAAACACCAAAATTTTGTTTGTATGCTAATGCCGTTTTGCTTTAATCACGGAAGGGGAATGAAAAATTATTTAATCATTCACTTTCCTCCTTTCCTTTGACACCACCTCACCTCACGGGTGTACTCCCGCCCTTTCGATAAAATGACTATGGGTAGAAAAATCTGTCTGCCTTCGTATGATAAATCTTTCTCGTGTAATGAGACAAGCTATGTAATGTGTCATTCTCGAAAGAATTAACTTCAATCTCGAGGAATGGCTCAAATATGACAGCCGTACAATTTGGTATAAATATGGACTCTCTACTGTGAGAGTATTATGTGTATGTGGAAATTTTGGATGTGCGGTGGACAGGTAATCAGTAGGGGGCTACATTTGAGATGGTAAGAAATAACTAGGAAGTCGATCAGGATTATTTGCAAAAATCAATAAGGGAAATTACTTGTGAATATTCTTCGATTGATCTTGTGAATAAACTTAAATTTTAAATACCTACATTCTAGAATCCATTTTAATTTTCATACGCAGATTCACGATAATTATATACTTGTGTTGTCCAAGTACATCAGACGTGACAACACGTCTATGTATGTACTTCAGAGTTCCAAAGAAATGTCGTTTTTCAGAACTCTTCTGAGCGAAATATTTTTCATTAGTGACTGTGGGACTCTCAGTGGAAGTGCCACAAGTTGCGAACATTAATATAATGACTTTTATGACATAATTTCCGCATATTGTGTATGAAATGATTTATTCGCCATGCACGACACTGAAAATTGTCATTCCGCAGACGTACATACATATATATTCATATGAAGACATTTACCTCAGTATAAGTAATCATCATGGCTTGTAAAGGTGAGCCTTAAGCGCCAGCAACACAACGACCAAGAGTGTGCCAGCTGACCTTGTTACAGATTTTGATTTGGTTTTCTCGGTTTTTATTACATCGTGAGGCGGTAGGTGAGAAAAACGTGCAAGAACGCGGTCCAGCATTGAGAAGTCTGGTAGCCGTAAAATATTTCATGATGCTACTGAAATCTGCCAATTAATCATAACAATATATGGAAGGAAGAGTGAGATTATTAGAGCAAATTCACGACCCATGTTCTTCACTTTCGCTCTTCAGCCACCCTATTATTCTTGGTTAACTGTTAAGCGAGAAATGCAAGCCATGCTTTTAAAAATAATTTATAACAAAACAGTGAAATCATTTGTATCGCTTTCAAATATACTTTCTACAAATTATAATTTGACTTATATCTTTTGGTGTCTTTGGCGTACTTGTAAGAAATTTTATGCACTATAGGGACATTCAAAAAAAGGCAAACATATTAATGTATGTTTGAAACAAATTTAAAAATGTGTGTCAAAAAAAAATTCAATAACTTGAAAATTAAAGCCTATTTTCAAATAGAAAATTCAAGTAAAATCTGTACTTACAATTCATTTAAGTATATTCATTTCATAAATCATAGATTTATCCAATTGTACTTGCTTGAAGGAAAATCCACTCGTTGTTTAGCATAAACTGAAGCAAATATACATCAAAATAAATACAGCAACACACATACAGAATTATAAACTTTAATTTTGCATTCTTTACTGTCACTTTTCTTTTCAAAGGAGAATGTTGAAATTTCATGACATGAATTTATTTTATGGGTGTGCTTGTATTACAAGAATGCGTCGGTGGGTTTCGAATTGTCTCCCCGACAAAAATGAATCACAATATCGTACTCTTCCATCCCATTCAACAGAGGAGCAATTACTTGAGAGAAATTCGCATCTAAATTGAAGCTCAATTGTATAATGTCTTGTTTTACGCTTTTTCATTCGTCTCTTCAAAGGTCATCCATGATGAATTTAACATTATTGCATTTCACCACTGAGGCAGGGGATTCTTATTGAATAAATTGTGAAACCTGTTCGTTCGGTGTCGACAAAATGATTACAATACACAATAAAATGCGGAAAAGATCTCTGACCTATACGATATGCTCAGGTAAATTCGCCTGCTAACGGGCGTTGCGAAAAAATGAGCAGCGAATTTTGTGAATCATGCAGTTAGTACCTCTTTTTGTATCCGATGGATTTTTATATGACATTGACACAAAATCACACTTAAGGCTTTTTAATTGACTGAATTTAAATGTATATTCATGATTATTTAATTTTAAGGCTCAAATCAGCAGAATGACTCAATCACGACTCTGTGCTATTATCATTACTATAAATTTTGATGTCATCAGTAATCTAAAGATTCGTTAAGATACTATTATGTTTATTACAAATGGAGTATTAAGAATGAAGTGAAAAGTATTTTGTTGTTTTCCTCAGTTTCTGTGCATTTAATTTTACGACTTCAGACAAGAGGTCAACTTATTATTAATTCAGTATCAAGATGCATTTTGTGCATAAAATTTTAAGCTCTTTAAACATTAGAAAGACAATAGCACACAGTAGGTGATAAACTTAGGTACTGTTGCTAACTCTTAGAGTTATTACACAAACATGGAAGCAAAAATTGTAGTATTCTAATAAACTTATTTTTGTTCTTCTGTTTACATTTAAATATTGTTGCTATTCGCATATACAGTTGCAGATCATAAAGTCGTCATATGCATATCACGATAACCGTGAAAATGTGGATTTCAATTCTAAAAGTTTAGACTTTTCGCAGTCATTAACAAGCCTTTTACTTGGTATTACACATTTCACCTCAGTGTTACGACTATCACATTTGATTGGAATTAAAATTCTCTTTTACCATTGAACATTAATTCTGGCAAAAAAGTGAGAGTTTTCCATTTGATCTACACGAAAAAGTGATCTTTCACTTTATCTTCTGTGAATTTCTCCTCACTGACGAAAAACAAACTTTACTGCAAATCAATTAACATGGGTCAATTTCTGGCTCTCTCTCTTCCAGAACACATCACGAGATCACCTCGACGACACATGTTTGAGAAAGATGAATAAGGTTTGGAGCTCTCGGATGATCATGAAATTTCTCTTTGCACTGGGAGTATGGTCTTTTCTACTGCTGGGTCTCCTCAAGCTGCATAGCAATCGCGTAATCCTTGAAGAGGATATTCAGTCGGGCATCAACAATGGGCGGCTCCTACTACAAAAGGACGGACGCTACCAGGAAGCAACATCAACGACCACGGAAAAGTTTCTCCCACTTGATGTTTTGATTGACAATCGTACGAGTGAGTGTCAAAATTTATCAATTATATTCTTTGAGAGGTGAAAATTAAGTTTTTGCAATTCAAATGACACTCTAATAGAACAATAGTAGATCGTGCAAGGTTAATATTTCAGCTATATGGCAAAACTCATTTGAGGAAGTTTAAAGTAAGCTAATTAACGTTATGCTGAGAAAATTCAATTTCATGGCAATATTAGCATACAGTATCTAGAGAGGAATCAATCTGACGCCAAATAATATTCTGCACATTCTTTACAGAATTGGATGACGATCAACTGATACGCGACGTGGAATCTCGGTTGCCATCTCTGCCGATAGCGTACTGGAGCAAGCATAAAAATTTCTCACAGCAGAAATCATCCACTTGCGCCAAGTACCCATCAATCTTTGATCTGGAATTTAACAACATTTACTGGCAGACTCTGCACACAAGCAATGGTACATTCCAGTTATACGGAGCGTACTATGATATCCGGAAAAAATCCAGGATAGGACCTGCTGTTAGAATACTAGGCATGATCGATCGGATTGAGCCTAAAGTGAAGACATATTGCCAGTTCTGGTTTGACGGCCAAAAGGAACCCTTCATAGTCAAAACATTCGAATACAAGTACGTGTGGTACAACAAATGGGGCAACTACAAACAGGGCATCTACCAGCCTTACTTGATCGCGTGTCAAATTCCTAAAGCCTTTCATGGTATTAAGCCTGCCTCGGTGTCTGTTGTGGAGAATGAATGCGATACAGCGTCAAATAATCTAAGAGTGCTACACAATCACCCATTGGATGGGAAGAAGAAGAACTTCGCAGTTTGCGTTAAAGGCCTAGACTTCCTTTACGATGACCTTTCTGTACGTTTAGTTGAGTGGATTGAACTTCTCAATATCTTAGGAGCAGACAAAATCTACTTTTACAACCTCCAAGTGCATCCCAATATCTCAAAGGTGCTGGACTACTATGAGGCTGAGGGAAAAGTTCACGTTACTCCGCTCACGTTGCCTGGAGGACAGCCCAATGTCCCAGGATTCCAGCACCTCTATCTTACGAAAAAGACCAACCATAAGCGTCAGAACGAACTCATTCCTTACAATGATTGTTTGTATAAGAACATGTACATGTACAAGTTCATCACACTCCTAGATATTGATGAGGTGATTATGCCTAAGGGTGAACTCAATAATTGGGCAGAACTCATGGATACAGTACTGCCCAAGTCGCTGAAACAGCGCAAAGAGGGCTACCACAGCTACAACATGAGGAATGTTTACTTCCTCGACGGTTACCAACACGATCATGGATGGAACAAGGACATTCCTAAATTTATGCACATGCTGCAACATGTTCATCGTGCACAAAACTACACGAAACCCAATCAGTACGTCAAGTGCTTCCACGATCCCGAGTCCGTTCTCAGCTTGCACAACCACTTTCCACTTTCCTGTCTCGGCGGTGCTTGCAAGTCCTTTCCCGTGGACACGGCAGATGGCCACCTACAACACTACCGAGCAGATTGTGTCAAGAGTCTTAAGAAAAGCTGTGATGAGTATAAGGAGCACCAAGTTCGCGATACTACCATCTGGAAATACAAGGAAGAACTCGTGCAGCGCTCAATGCGAACCCTCGAGAAGCTGGGCTTCTTCCGAAATCCACCCACTGGCCGGGGATCACGCGACCTGGAGCGGTGATCATGATTTCAGTCAAATTTCCTAAATCAATTTGCACACCAAGCGAAAGAGCTGATGATGATTATGATATGAATAGAAATAATTGTGATAGTAGAACAGAAAGGGTGAACCTTGTATACTTATAAAGAAAAGATGCAAACAATCCTTATAAATGTAATAAATTTTGTAGAGGCGGAACTATCAAAACATGTATTGTGAGGTTTTTGCTCAATACGATTATTAATCATCGTATTGTTGAGGACAGTCAAAAGAAAGTCAAATAGATATTTGCTGAGTTATAGAAAAAGAGAGAACGACTTAAAAATGTGTGTTGTGTGCCTTCATGAGACATAATCATTCACAAAAAGAAGAAAAAAAACACAGATGTTTTTTGAAAATGTGTGACACAGTGTTTGGCTAGACACTATTGAAAATATAATAAAAAAGCATTGTTTGAAAAGGAATTATACAAAAAAGTAACCGTGATTTAAAATATTAGATAATTAGTAGGTAGTTGTTGTATGTTATATGGAAAGACTGAACCGTTGTTTAAAGGGAAAAAATATAAATGAAAGAAGGGGAAAAGACGTAGAAAAATTGATCAATTATTTATTATTCAATTGCAAAATACTGTTCAAACACACAAAAGTGCTGTATAAAATTATTTTCCTTCCTATTACATCGTAAATGTGTGTAAATAAGTTGAAAATAAAGAAAATCATAACATTAGAATACAACAAATGAGAAAAGAGTCAAATGAAAACTGAATCAATTAAATGTTAAGTTAATTTATCCAATTTTCTGTCAAGAGTCATTTAAATCTAATCCTATATTATATTTGATATTTAAATTCAGCAAAATACTTGTTTTTCTTTACCCCTTTACACCTACGATCTACAATATGTGTGTATAATATAAGTTAAAATCATGAAATGGCAGTTGATTGCGTTGAAAATATATAGATCTGAATTTGGGCGCATAAGGCTCATAATTAGGAAATCCACAATTATATTTAGCGTAGAGTTGTCTCTATTCCACAAGAAAGATTGAGAAAAGGGAGGGGCTTTCAATTGCATTTGATGTCTGATGTGGCTAAAGAGCCCAATTGACATTTCATGATTTTACTTATGGAGTGTGCAATCATTAATCACGAAGATGGTACTTTCTCATACGCTCACTTCGACACCACCCGTTGAAATTCAATTGAATTATGCCTTTTGTATGGCATTTTGGGGAATAGCGGAAGCTGCAAAGATGCCACGACAGAGAAGATCATCGATATATTGTGAGTATATAGTCAGAAGAAAGGCGACATATATAAAAGAAATTGCTAAATTGCAATGACCCATGAGACCACAACGCAGAATAGATTGACTTTTGGTTTAGAGTAAATGAGTCGACCTTTTGACGCGAAGAAGACACTATTCCGTGTGCAAAAAAAACCCATCTGTACATTCACACATCTACGATCGAGGCACATGGTAAAGGAGGCGTGAGCAAAATGCCAGTAATGAATTTGCTGTATTTATTAGAAAGTCATGAAGGAACCAATCTGATTGCGTCGACGGATTCTCTCAGAGAAACAACTCTTGAAGCACCTCGTAGATATGTAAATATACATAAATCTCTGAAATTTTTGTGTAAATTGGAAAATCATGCTGTACGATCTCACTGGGTTTATGCGCTGACGACAGTGACGAAATTTTACATGCATTTTGTCGTCTCGTCTGTCGTTAAAGGCACGCGAAAATAATAATTGTGAAGCTATTTTAGATTCAAGTAAAATTTGCGCATGGTTTCAAAGAAATTTTTGAAAGTAACATTTTCTTGTCCATTGATTTTCAATTTGAAAGTTAACGCGGAATTTTCCCTAAATTTATTTTTTTTAAGATACTCTCACTTTTGATGTAATAATGAATTGTATATTAACTTAAATTAAATTAATGCTTGGAAAAAAAACCATTGAAATGTTTTCATCTTCTATTTCTAATAGTGAGTGCATATAATAAAAACAGAGTTTCTGTATTGTTTGAAATTCGAAAAATTCTTTTTGTAGATAATTTATGACTTTTTACATTATTCTATAAATTAAACAAGGGGTGAAAGGCTGTATCATCCATAATGCCGAATTTTTGAGTACGAGTGGAATAACACGGCTTTCAAGAGAGACACAATGTAGCTACATTATCTATCTTCAGTTTCGTTCTACTGAAAAAATTAGCTTTATTAAATTTTAATGAAATTGTTGACTACTTTACGAACCTGTACAATGTTGAAACAACCGAATCACATTCTTGAGAAAACATTCCCGACGTAATTTCAGATAATTTCCACGCTACGAAGAATCTGGCTTTCATCAAATTTTGTGTCAATTCCTCTCAACAAACTGTACAACACCAAATTAGACGTTTTGCTACAAAGTCACTTCGTTTTAGAAGACATTCAACTCTCTGCTTTTAGTCAACTGGCAGTAGTGGAGAATGGAACCAATGGAGGCGATCAAAATGAATGTTCTGCGCTATGGTATGCATTTCGATAAAACACGAAATGTAATGAAAATTGTTCGATTTGTGGTGCCGCACCTCTTTCAGCACACAATTTCTCTAGTCACACTCCCCTTCTCGCGGACAGTCCAAGTAGCGACCTTATAAGAAAATTCATGAGTGAGAAGAATATCCAGTGATGACCCCGATCATTTTCAAAGTCACCACAACGATTTGTAAGTTTTCTCGCAATGCAACTTTGCAACCAAAGATGACGGACCGGTTTGAAACATTTTCAGCCACTATATTCTAGTTCAATTCAGCAATAATATACATATGAATCGTATCTACAAATTGCCCATTAATGGATTGTCTTCATCACGCTTCATTCTCTACTGAGACTTCTTCACCATCAGCGTACATCAGCTGACGATCATCAGTATAATGATGATGGCACAGCATTCCTCAACCACTTATGAATCGCTGAAGATGAGATGGACTGGACATAGACCTTTTAGTAAGCTATTTTGCGTTATGGTAAGGAAGATTCTTCCAGCGATTCTCCAATTGGTAAGACAAAAAAAATGTGTTTAAAAATATCCATAAACTTCAAGTGTTTTAGAACCTATTACTATAACTAATACTCTGGCTCTCAGGTTTAAACTATCATATAAATACAGCACAAAGCAATACCTTTAAGGCATTAATTTTTTGGTAAGCATTGGGAAAATGTCACATTACACTTAAAAAATGTTAGAAAATAATAACCAAATTTTAAAATATTATTGCAAATATATGATCGAATTCCATTTAAAATTTTTCCTGTGTGCTGTAATTTCTAATTATGTGTGAAAAATGAAGGCGTATTCCTTGGTAAATAAAAAAGAATTTCATAATCGTATAGAAAGAATTACTTTTAATAGCAATAACTGTGACTTTCATATGCAAAAGCTTATACCATAAAAGCCATAACAAAAGTGACTCTTAAACACGTACCACGTGATATGGCTCTCATTGCACGAGTACAGTGGAAACATGAATAACATGGAAGTGATGGAAACTACTCAAGTTGTAACAACAATCACTTATCGCATCGTGAGTAGTGCAATATAGACCAACTTTTACTCCCCCACAGAATGCGGTAAGAGGCCGAACCACCATGAAATGTTTTGTGGATGTATGAAGGGCAATAGCATTTTGAGCAGTGAATGAGCAACACCGGGGACTGTCTGTTGGCCAGGTAAAATGCGTTCCGTTATATTCATCCACACTTCACCGCGGCGGACGCAAAGAGTACAGTCATTGCTTGAGTCCGATCGACACAGTCCGAATGTTTCATTCAGTGCCAAGATTTCAGAGTGAAAAGTGGGCATTTTTCCGCGGGATCATCCCGCACAGACCATGTGGCTCTCCTCATCAAACACACAATCAATTGCTGCGATCGCGAACATTTACTAGTGGCCGACAATGGGCATCGTGAGATCATGAATGATAAGCTTCGTTGAGTGAAAAGTGAAAATGATGGTGCCAAAAGTGAATTTGAAGTACCTCATCGTTCTCATTGTGTGGATATTCGTGGTAGTGGGTACAGTTTACGTATTCAATTCTGTCGTGATCTACGATCCTCCTGACTACGTGGGTGGCGATCATAGCAAATCCTCCCTCATCCGCGAATACATCACGTCCGGTCAGTACAATCAACTCGTGGATGTGGCCAACGAGATGGAACTTCTTGTGGACCCCATGCGAGAACGTGACTTCAACGAGGTGGTCCGTGACATCGAATCGAAGGTGCCCTTCCTTCCGTTAGATTTCTGGGCGCGTCAGACCCTCATTGGACGCAAGAAGATGAAGCCCCAGTGCGGCAAATTTCCCTCTATCTTTGAATTGGAAATCAATAACGATTTGTGGCAAACGCAGCGCACGTCCAATGGTACCTATCAGCTGTTTGGTGCGTACATGGACAATCGCAAGAGCAATGCCAATGATCAGTGGTACATTCGCATCTTGGGCATGATAAATCGCGTGGACACACACTTGCCCATGTTCTGTCAGATATGGTACGATCAGCAGGAGAAACCTGTTACTGTTCTCCTAGAGCAGTACCACTACATTTGGATTAAGAGTTGGGGCAATGCCTTTGACGGCCAGTATCAGCCGTACCTCCTGTCATGCCCGATCCCATGGGATCGCCGTCACATGGTGCCAGTGTCTGTGTCTCTTGTTGAGCAACAATGCGCCACAGCAACGAACAATCTCAAAGTCATGTACAATCGGCCACTGGACAATCAGAAGAAAATGTTCGCTGTGTGTGTCAAGGGACTGGACTTTCTCTATCAGGATCTCTCAGTACGTCTAATTGAATGGATAGAGTTACTAGGAATCTTAGGAGCTGATAAAATTTACTTCTATAATCTCCAAATTCACCCCAACATGTCGAAGGTTCTTCAGTACTACAAACAATTGGGTAGGATAGATGTGACCAAACTTACGCTTCCTGCAGGAAATCCCAACGTTCCTGGGCTTCAGCATCTCTTTCTCTCTGAAAGATTATATCAGAAGCGACAGAATGAAATCATTCCCTACAATGACTGCTTGTACAAGAACATGTACAAATATCACTACATTACTCTCTTAGATATCGACGAGGTGATTATGCCCAAGAGAAATATCAAAAGCTGGGAAGAGTTAATGGCGATGATCTCAGAAAAGGCGGATCATGGTAGTCCTTTGCCTTTTCCTAGCTACAACTTCCGAAATGTCTATTTCCTTGACTCACACCATCATCCAGACAGAACCAAATCTGATAACAAGGATATACCTGAATTTCTTCATATGCTGCAGCACACAAATCGGGCTGCCGTCTATAGTGCTCCCAATGAACATGTGAAATGCATACACAGAGCCGATAGAATTCTTACCCTTCACAACCACTTTGCCATGAGTTGTCTCCAGGTAAAGATCCGGAACATCACATGGGATCATTAATTTTTGATTACTATTCCATGGTTTCCAGAATCTACGCATTTTCGCAAAACTATTTATAGACGGTCTTAATTTACAATGAAGTCACTTCCAGAATCTCTCAAACATATTACATAATCATCTTAGGAACACGGTATAACACATAAATATTTGAAGAAGACTCAAATGTCCATATCACATGACTGAGTGGCAATTAATTTGCCAGATTAATCGCGATAATGACTTCGAAGGCCTCACTATTTCACTGAAACTTCATATTGTTGGCATTAATATTCACACAAATTCACATTTTACTGATGATAAGCCGCCAACTCTAAATTATCCAGAAAATAAACATGTGGCTATTTGATTTGTGCTGAAACATCGAAAATTTTTATTATCAGTTTCGTTTTTCATAGATTTTATTATCCAATAAAAATACATTCACATGATGTAATAATGTGTCTAGGATATGTGTTTTTAAGTGGTTATGGTATATTAGAAATCACTTTGGACATTTTTTTATTCAAAGAATAGGTAATAAAAGTACACACGTAGAATGGAGTTTGCCAATTTAAATGTTCGCAAAATATATACGATGAAAGAAGCAATTTTGCTTAAAAGTTACTCTTTATCTGTGTGTCGCGTGCTTTAAAAACTTTTCCCTTTATTCTCATCCTCAGGGATCGTGTGCAGCCTACGAGATTGATGTAGAAGATGCTCAATTGCAACACTACAGATCAGATTGTGTAACGACAGTGCAGCGAAAATGTCACAACATGACGGAGTTTTATATCACTGATAAGAATATCTTCAAATTCAAGGATGACCTCATCCGTCGCTCTCTCCAAACTCTTTACAAATTGGGTTTCCTTAAACCCAAGAATGACTCTACAATAGGTTATTAACCCCACAATTGTGTAGGAATACATTTTCTCCACGATATCACTATTGTGATATTGTCACCTCTTGTGTTAATTGCATCGTGAAGCCTGCACGCGTGCTTAACACTTTCACTGCTCTCGTCAGAGACAAATAAAATATTTGCTGTAATTAGGAAATGCACAAAAGAACTTCATGACGTTTAACATAGGTGAATTCAGCATTGCAACACAACATGTGGCGGTAAAAAGTATCCGCTTTATGCAATCCTTTATCTGAACATTTCACGACTAATAAATTTCAATCGAGAGTCACTCCAACAATTTCAAATGTGCAGAGGAGGATTATTTCATATTGCTAAATGAAGTTAAAACCTTCGAACCAACAATTAAAATGCCTCTTGGATGATGGGGAGTATAGTGTAAAAAAAGTTATAGTGTACAAAAAGACGATTGTTTGAATTGTGGTCAATGGGGGATATGAGAAAAACGCGTATATCGCGAATAAATGTCGTCACATCTGTCATCTTCATGCGTTTTAATTGTTATATAGGGAAATAAATAATTACACACTTCATCTTATGTACCTTATCTCCTTAACCATCGAACTCTTCATGACCTCAGTTCAATTGATTGGCGGGTCTTTGTACAAATCAAATGCAAAAAATCAGGGAAGGGTTTTTCCATTAAAATATCGTATATCAATGGAAGTGTTACGAGAGATGCTTTTTGGGTGTAGTGATGATGAAGAAAGAGAGTGAAAGAACATCATGAGATATGACAACAAGACGCAATCGCCAAAAATAGACGCGATATTATTCATGCCTTTTAATTCACGAGTAAAAACGCGAAACTCACCGAGAGTGAAATCTCGAGAATTTTGGATTAAATGCATAGGCAAAAGAAATATTATCTCACGCCTCCGGAATTGTGATTCATTTGCCAATTGGGAAAGTTCATGTTGTCTCTTTTTGTAGCCTCCCTTGCAATCATTCAACAGATGAAGACGCCTTTGTGATATAAAGATCCGCGCGTCAATTGCTTAAGCATTCTCAAAAATTACTTAAAATATCTTGCAGTCTTAGCTCTTGAATGCAAAAGAGCAGCACTTAAACAGGCACGAATGTTTTTCAAAAATAAATAATAGCAAACTTAACACATATTTTTTGAAGATCGATTTAGAAGTAATAGTCTTTTTCATACTCCGATTTTCAAGTGATTTTTTCGTATTACGCATTGGAACGTGTAAAAATAAATTTCGAAGTATCTAATCCGTATATCTTTAATTACGCGTCTTTAAGAAAAAATCGACAGATATAATACAGACCGCAAAGACTTTATGGTAATAACCTTTAGTAATGTATTATATATAATATGTATAAAAAATAGCTTTATTCACGTGTACAAATATTTTTAACCTGAAACTTTAAATCTTTTAAAATCTTTCCATAAAATCACAGCTTTTCACTAATTTGCGTACAGAGAATTTCATAAGTTTCCTCAAACTTAGCTAATTCAGTCACACACAATTAATTTCTACACACAATAAAGTACATGAATTTTGTAGGTTTTACAGTAAATTGTTTGAGAATGACAGAAAAAAGAAGTCATTCAACAAAAACGAGCATCTCTATGCTGATTTATCCATTTGTCATGCAATCAGCTGAAATATTTAACTCTCTAGGAAAGAATGGCAAAAACGAAAAACCAGCGGAAGCTTGAGAAAAGGCAGGAATCATGCAAATTTACCAGACACACGTAATATAAATATTTTTATGATCAATTTTTTACACATTCTTCCAAGAATGTAAATAATTTTACCCTTAAAAAATGAGAGAAAGGTAAAACAAATTTGGAGTAGAGTGCCAATTTTTATTGTAAAAATAGAAATATTTCTGCTACTGAACGGTGTACAGAGAGGAGGGTATATATTTGTGAAAAACATGGAAATAATATTATATAAGTATATGATACACACTCAAATATAACTAATACAGAACACAGAGAGTTTAAGGTAATGGTAATAGCATTAATATCTTAATGCTGTTGGGTTCTATTTTCTCTAAATTAGACTCTTTTCAATCGAATTCGCCGGTTCGATTAATTCATTCTTATTACAGTGATTATTTGGACAAATGGCAAGTGGGGTTGTGCAGCTTACCCGTCGCTGAAGCAAATGCTTCTTGCTGCTCTGCTGCGGATAATTGTGGCCAAGACTGATAGACAGTGCGGACTCGAATCCGTTCTGAGATCGTGAGTCGATGCCAGCGCCACATGGTAGCGAATAGAGAAATTTGGTGAGCTGTGAAATAATACGAGAAACGTTAAATGTAATTGAAATTCCTCTAATTGCTTCAAACCCTCTTGGGGTAAATCACGTCTTGATGCTCACCTGCTGCTTAAAGGCGGCCGTCGTTAGAGTGTAAAGGACGGGATTGAGAGCTGAATTAACAGGAAGCACCAAAACAGCGAGCCAAGCGTATAGTGAAGGTGAGATTTCTACACCTGAAACAGATGATAATTTGAATTACGACTTTCATCTTATGTCTTATTTAATTTTCGCACAAATTCCATCTACAATTCAGATGTCTGAAAAGTCCGCTTAATTCACACCTTGGCTCTGGTGTGTTTCAATTCTGTTATTAACTTTCATTTAAAGTGATACCATCACTTAAAGTAAAACGTACACACACACACACACACACACACACACACACATTTATATATATATAAATATATATATATACCAAATAGCATTTGCAAAGGACAAAATTAAAATTTTAATTTTGAAACAGCAATAGGTACACGAATTTTAAAAATTTGTTTCTGTTTCAGGACACAACGAATCGTGCATATTAAATTTCTATTTTGATTAACTTTACAAATGATGAAATTATGTTAAGATCATATAACCATCATTCATGGAGAATTAAAATGAAATTATTAAAGTAATTAGTAAATAAAAAATGCATAGATATTTATCTCCTCATGCAAATATCACCACCATGAATCATATGTATTTTTGAGTCGGTAACATTTATTTCCCTTCTTCAGCAAATAAATCAACTCAATTGTTTCCAATAAAATAAATGTCTTGCGTTAGTAGTCCAGTGGAGGGCACAGTGATTTTTCATTGTTTAGCGAAGAAAGCCGAAATAAGAGTGATTTACATGACTCAATTCGTATAGAAAGAATTACAACTTACCTGCAAGCGCTGCGATTTTAACAATGATTACTGGAAGCCAACAGGCACAGTCCGTAGCCACAATAATGGCAAAGCGACGAGCCACAACATTCTCTCGCCCACTCTGGGAGCTTCTCATAGCCGAGCCGGAACTCCTGATGGCGCGCAGCATTTTCATATACGACGTCCCAATGAAAATAAGCGAAAATGTGTTGACAACGATGAAAATCGCTGCAGACCATTCCCAACCCTAAAATGATAGTGTTAACGTTGAGATATTGTTCAGTACAAACTTTTCGGTTATTTTTGGTGGATTCGTAAAAGCGTTCAGTGCTAATATTCAAATTTATCATACAACCTTACGTATAAATATGCCTTTAGTGATGAATTAATCATCATACCTTGTCGTAAGGACTGTGTATGTGGAGGCTGAGACAAACACCGTTGGAACCATAGAAATTTCTGCCAAAATAATCTATCCCAGACAATGGAGCAGCCGCCAACGTCGTCGCGGTCAGCCACAAAAGTCCCAAGCGTACAATTGCTCTGTGTAGGTGATCCAAGAGAGATTCAAACAGTAAACAAAATAATGTATATATTGAAGGAATTCTTACTACATATAGACAATCAAAGTGGAATTTTTCAAGACTTCATCAGAATTGTACAATTCTCAAGGGGCAAGTCACAAGACAATTCTTAACAGTACAACGGTCCACTAAAAATTCTTCTGACGAATTAAATTTTTCCTTCAATCAATTGTATTATACACACATATTATTTCCTACATTTGTAGGCACTGTTAATGTTTCCCAAGTGTCGATAAATCCCTTGAAACGACTGAGAATGCCTAAAAACAATAACCAAAGGACAAATCATCCCGTCAGCGATGGAAATGTTGGCACTTTTTCAAGAAAGTTCAAGTAAAATTTTAGGACAATCTATAAAGGGAGATGACAAAGTTGCTTTTCGAATAATGGTAAAAAAATTTTAGTTAAAAAAGCAAAAAGATGTAAACGTTTTTCCACCACAAATTTCAGACACTTTTTTACTGGGAGGCAGTATATCCAAGAAAAAAATTGATACAAATACATTATTATTTGCAAAATGATTGTCCACCACCTCCTTGATTTTATATTATAGTAAAAACTAACAGAATGTAATTAAATCCAATATTCAATATAATACACAAATATGACACAAGTGATTTTCTCACCTTGCTCGGCTTGGTGGCCTTGGCAAAAGAGGTCTGGTGACAGAGACAAGACGATCCCAGGTAACCAGAGTCAGCAGAAGCGTGGACGACTGACAGCTTAGTGTGCTGAGAAAGCCGCACAGGTCACAAGTGATGCTGTGTCTCCAATCCTCCTCGTGTATTAGATACTCTCCCCGAAAAGCCATATCCGCCGTGGCGATAATGGCCAGGTAGATTCCCATTAGTAAATCACTGGCAGCCAAATGTCGTAAGTAAATAGTATGTTCGATGTGGCATGTAAGACCGCGATTTCCCAAAGCAAGTGGTCCGAAAAGTACCAATAGGTTTCCCACAATACCCACAGCTGCCATAACCCACACACTTGGGAAGAAATAATGTTGTTTCATTTAAATACAATTTTTATACCAATATTTATTGCGTTTCCTCACCTGGCCCGCAGCACCGGATTATCTAGCAAGTGCTTGTCGCTAGAAATACCATCCCCACGTGGTTCACACACCCTCACGTACATTGCTGCGCGGCACAAGTGAAACCAGGTAAAGTATCTGTAATTTCAAGTAAAAAAAAACATATACCCTCTGATACGTGAAAACTCTGAGAATGCATTCCTAAAGGATGTTGATCTGCATCAATGTCTCATACATGGTTTATTGATTTATTGCACCCAAGGAATGTGAATTGCCATTAGGCACTGCCCCCAAACCTAATTAGGTGCAAATATGTTTACTAACATATGTATGTAGGTACCAAAATACAAAACAAGAGGATAAACTAATTTATAAATTAAATGTAAAGCACATTAAACAAATACCCATACGTTAGTGTTTGTGGAATTTCCCAAAAGCTTCTCAGCACCTTTCAATGTTTATGGAAAAGTTGTTTTGATACTTTTGTGGTATAAATATTCCGTGCTATTTTCCACTTAACTTCAGCTTAGATTCATGAAAATAAATGCATTATAATGTATACATATGGTCCACATGAGTCAAATCATAGTATTTCAAATTTTCCTTATAATAAACTAGAAACTTTTGGAAGTGTTCAAAGTGCATTTACAATTTTAGGAAGATATATGTACGTTTATTCAATGTACATGTTTTTAAACTGAATTTCCAGACTGTGTAGTGTTTTGTGATGTTATCACTTATTGAAAGTTTTGGATACTATTTTGCACCTAATATGTTATCATATACAACCCAAATATTACTTACATATGCTGTAAATGGGTTAAGTTATGAAGAACCCTCTGGTCAATTGTCTTGAATGGATTTCCGGATAGATACCTGCAAAAAGGAGAATATCATATAAACAAGAAGATTTGCTGCTTTTTTCTACAGCTATTGAAATGTTACATATTACGAAAGTGTTCTTACAATGATGTTAAATTTTCAATTCCATTGAAGGCGTTCAATTGAAACTCCTGAATTTGGTTGTTATTAAGGTTTCTGAAAATATTAATCAATGTGAGCAAACGTTTTAATTTTACTTCGATGTCTACTTACAATCCTGTTAAGTTTGGGAGTAGATAGAAAGTATCATTATCGATTTGGTGCAATCGATTTCCAGATAAAAACCTATGAATAATTTTGAAATAAGTAACGAAATAAATTCAACAGATGTATGTACATCTAAGAATTTTCAATAACAAACATAGAATATCATTCAATACGTGACTGACTAAAAATATCTCAATTTTCAACAAATCTTAGAATTCCAACATAAGTAGGTACTGTCATTCCCAGAGATTTTATCACACACAACATCCTTTTCAATTACTCACAAATGTTCCAATGATGGAAGATTGAGAGCATTCTTCGACACTCGCCGAATTTGATTGTCAGCCAGTGAGAGTGTTATTAAATTGCTCAACAACGGCAACATCCCACTGGTAAAAGCCGTAAGACGATTTCCGTTGAGAAAACTTTTTTGTTGTGGGAAAAAGATAAAAATATATGAGTCAATTTCCTTGGGATATAGCAAAAGTTTCCATGAAAATTAGTCGAAAAGTGCAAAGTCAAACTTACAGAATTTGTAAATTTATCAGCGGCGCCAGAACAGCTTCAGTGAGTACCGCGAGACGATTATCGCGAAGGTCTCTATTGAGTTCAAAAGAATAATCCAATTAATCATAACAAATTGATGCGAACAAAAATATTTGTCCTACTCACAGTTCAATTAAGTGCTTCAGATTTGCGAAAGCAAAGCTGTGAATCTCAAATATACGATTTCCAGCAAGGATTCTACCAAGAGAAGGATAGGAAAACATTTTTTTAATGTGGTAATAAATATTTATGCCATGCATACGAGTATCAAAATATACATACAGAACTGTGAGCTTTGTCCCTTCAGGAAATAGAAAATTCGGAAGAATTTCGATTTGATTTTGATCCAAATATCTAAATTTCACACAAATAGGAAATATAAGCCAATGATGAAAACATTTGAAAAATTTTCAAATACGCTCTACTTACAATATATCCACAAAATCATCTTTGAAACGCTGGAATGCAAGTGATTTTACCTCTTGCACTGAACAATGCTTAAGGATTCTGCAATAGATATATTATTCACACATGAAAGAATCATATAATACTCAGAATTTAATCATTTAATTTATTCCTATTGTAGTGTGTTTACTCACAGTTTCTGAGAAGGTGGTATGTTTTCCAAAAAAATACTATCGAGAACGGGAAAGCGATTTCCACTCAACTCCAGCAAACTTATCCCGTACATGGGCAGAGGCGATGGAATATTTGTGAGACCTTGAAATTGACAGTGAACTTCTTTCAGCTTGCACTTGCACGTATTGTTAAGGTCTGGATACTCGTTGAAACTATAATCTATCCGGGAATAGACATTGAAATTACATCAATTTAATTACCTAATTAATACATTTTCTCATTGCTCGAGTTAAGGCCGTCACTTAAGGTGTTATTTTAGTTAAAAGAAAACATAATCCTGGAGAATAATTTACTAATTTCGATTGACAAATTACCACATCGTCCCCAGGGTATATCATCTGTCAAAGCCTTAAGATTCTTCCGAAAGAGATGATCGTAGTACAAATCTGCCGACTGATCATCGCAATTCCACTCATCTGAACCGTCAAAACAATTGGGATTCTGGTCACAATTGAGATGCTGTGCTACACACAAGATGGAATCGTTGCACATAAAGTAACTTGCAATGCATTGCGATCCGCTCTCAGGTTTGTAACTATCTTGAATCTCTCCAGATATAGCTAGCGATTGCAGCATCGAAGAAGTAGAAACTGCAAAAAAATTACCATGTACATATTGATGTTAGTATTTTTCCGAACAATACATATTATTTAGTAGAAAAGTATTCGTCAAACTGCTTTACTATCTCAATCCGTAATAACTAACAAAGGGAACAAAAATTAAAAATTACATACCTTAGCATTAAAAAAATACTTAGGTACACATGTGAAATAGTAAAGTAATTTCAGACCAAATATCTACATATATTATATCTATAACAAGAGCGCATTCAGCACAGGCGATGATATTCATAAAACAGTACATGTTTCATGCGAAATGCCAGTGCAATTCGCTATCAGATCCACCTGTGTAATAAACTTCTAGAAGGCACAAAAATTCGATATTTTTAAATAGGGCCCCTAATTGTCCAGTAAATAATTAGCTGCTATGACAGTAGTTTATCTTTCCGACTAAACGACATGACAAGTGAGATGTTTGACGCCAACAAAGACGTGTAAATATAGACATATTGCGCCACATCGCAATTAAGAAGCACACCTTTATTGAGCCTAATTATTAATAAGACTGTTTAGCACAGAAACAATCTATCGCGAGGTAGGAAGTCGTCGCTCTTTGAAATCCTAAGGACTTGCATTATAAATAACTACTCGTTGAGAGGTGGTAGGTTAAGAAATTAGAAGCAGTTGTTTATTGTTTACTGAATTAATCACCTTTTCGCTGAGGTGGCCGATGATACTAATGCGGTATTGTATCACCTTCGCATGAAAGCAATATTTTGGTCGGTTATTGAAAAAAGGTTTGATGAACCTTATCTTGAATAAATATGTACATAAAATCAGTTACAACAATTAACCATTAGCATCCGTAATATTAAACGTGGTAAAGCAGCACAAACTTATGAAGCTCTTCTGACATTCTTGTAATGTGATATTGCACTTGTGATATGAGAAATTACATCATTGAACTACATTGATTGCGCGATTGCAGTTTCTAGAAAATAACTTTTATAACGCAGACAAGGATGAAGAACCAATTTACAGAAGGCGTCTCTCTAGACACCATTCGGTCTTATGCACTGTGCTGTTAAGTCTTCTCTTAATTTAATTCATTTTTGAATGCTTGTTTTAACTAATATATATATAATACCTATATATGTAATACCTATGATTTTATGTAATAAATATGTAGATTCTCCCTTGTTGTTATATTGGAAGTGCAATTTCTTTCCTTACACATTATCCGATTCCGACAAAATTTGTATACGTCAAAAGTTAATTTGAAACAATTTCAATTTCCGCTTTTCATCCTCACACATATTATTGTAGTTCTCGAATCTTTTTCCCGAATATATCTCAACACAATTTCGTTTCCACTTTTAATTAACAATTCGCGTAGCACCAGACCATTGAATTTTTCTTCACGGTTACTTACACAACTCCGCAATATTGTGATAAAATATATATGTAGGAGAAAAATGGATGAGAACTGCGGTGGGGAAGAAGAAAATTTTCAAATAGTGAAATAGAGCCAAAAATAACTGGCGGGGAATGGTTGAAGAGATTTTTCATGTACGCGGTCAAGATCTCATCTGTTTATTCGCCAATTTTCTTATATCACGGATGAAAGGTGATTGGTTATTCTACGCAATGTTCAATCTCCTTTTCTGTTTATGTTATAAAAGTAATTTGTGTAATTCTTGCCTTCTCCAAATATTTTCACTTCATGACAAAGACTTCTTTTCCTCTTTTGCACAATTTTGATTTCAAAGAATGTCTTAGTTATTCTTCTTGGTCTCGCAAAGAAGGAAAAAATCTGACTGATAATTAGATTCGCGAAAAGACTTAATGAAGTCTTTCATGGATAACGTTGAATCCCTTTTGTTGTTTTCCATGCCATTCATGCAAAAAAATGCGAATACGCGAGTAGATGTTGTGTGAAATTCACGACTACAATGACTTAAAAATTAAAATTAAAAAAAGGAATTTCCAACCCATCCTTTTTGCTATTCAAAAATAAGCAAATACATATTACTGTCAACTAATATAAAATTTCTGTTAACAATATGTATATCTAAAACGATGAGAAAAAATTATATGTACACGTGTGAACATTTATTATATGCATATACATATCTACATCTATCTATATAGTATGTAGTCCTCAAAACAAATGCATCATCCACGAGAAGAAAAAACTTACGAAAATATAATATCTGAAATTTCCCAATTATTACAAGTGGTTATTTTATGACATAATTATACTTATGTCGCAAACACTGCTAATAATTGTGTAACAATTTGAGATAAATATTTATTGGAAAATTGGAACATTACGTAAATGAAATACGCAAGTGACATAGTACACATATTCTTTGGGCCTTTGATAAAAGTGGAATAAAACTCACATTATAAAGTTCAACACTGACTGAAGGGTTTAAGTCGATACAATAGAGGCGCCTAATGGCCCGAATTGCCTTCTATTTTTACAGTTATGTAACGCAATTAGTATTTTAATTTGTTATTCAGCTCCCTTACACATAATTATAAAGGCATCTTGTTTATCCAACGAGAATGGAAAATAGGAAATTGATTTAAAAAAGAGACGAAAATAGAATGGAAATGCCAAAATCACTTACCGAAAATTATTTGCAAAATGACAATTATTAACACAGGAAGAACCTTCATGGTGAAAGAGTAGCACGAGTTGTGATGTAGTAATTGTTCCCTGAAATCTTCTCTTGATGTAATTTCACTATCTTTCGCATTCTCTCTACGGTTATTTCATATTTCACTCAAATTAAAACTTTAAGTCCTTTCGCGAAACACAATTATTTTACCAACTTTAACCAGTTTCTATGCATTTTGTCACTTAATAAATACATATGTAGGCAAGTATTCTTCAATGATATCCAATGTACTTTAAGAAGCGCACTGTGGTAATTGTCATAAAACTCACAAGTTCAATTTACGACACATCGGTCGTCTTGTTCATTTTCTCCTGAAAAACGATATTTATTGGAAGCGGTTAAACAATAGGCGCTGGTCTGTCTACTAGTTTACCAATAATATATAGCAATTTACATTAAGACGCATTCTTAAATGAAGAGAAACACTCCTTCGATTTCCTCCATTGCGCTCAAGGCAATGACGGAATAGGGTGGAAGGGGAAATTTATGTTCATTTTCAACATCTAAACTCAAGCGTGGATAAGAATCATTTCGACGTAGTTTCCATGAGCGAAAATTTTTCATCGAAGGAAAATTGCGGCCAGTTCAAATGAAATCATGTCCAATAGAATTTGACACCCGGGAAAAATGAGTCATGGAAAAATACATCAGATCAGGCGAAAATTAATCTAATAACTGCATTGTACAATTGACCCAATTTCAATTGACCATAGAAAAAATTGATATGTGCTATTAAGAATATTGATAAATTTTACAAAAATGTAGACATCAACGATTTCTCATTCAATGTATGTATTTATTTTATGAAGTGCAAATTATAATAACTAACCTCATATAAAATAAATTTAAATATTCCTCAAATACATGAAAATATAGTAGAAGATATCAATTGTGTATCAAGGGATTAGCAATATAACTGCAGAATGAATGAAATGTCAGATTCAGTTAATTGCCAATTCACTTATAATAATTATGACCACGCCAAGCTTATTTCGCATGATTTCCCCCAAGTGGGCTAAACTCCCATAAATTTGAGTTACAGCTAGAAGAGTTGTGTATGTCGGCACGCTTACAAACTGTGATTTTGAATGAGCAGTAAAAGTATATACGATATACAATATATACTTATAGTATCAAATGTCAGGAATATGTAGATGTTTGCGTTGTAGAATTGCATTAGGACATCCACTTGAGAATCACCATAAAATGACTTTCTGTTCCCGCAATGCCGGCCCACAAATACCCTTAAACTCGACCTGCTATTATATTCGAACTCATCCGCAAAAGCTGTGAAACGCCTAATGTTTGGCCCTAAAATCGACCCCTCAGACTGATTCGTATATTGAGTTAGGAAAAAGGGGAGAATTAAATTCTAAGGCGAAGCCATAGTGACGACTTTTTTATTCCTAATTCCGATATCATGTCCAGAAAAGTGAATAGCCATAAATCGTGCCTCTGAGATTATTCCTCAGAGATTCCTTTGAAGACGTGACTATTTGCAAGTTTTCCCTCCCACAATATAATTTTGCATCAGTCTATTAGATCTGTAAAATATACATATAAGTTAAACAATAGTAGAAACCTATTATAGGAGATGTACTATCAAACTTTTAGCAATGTCAATGGAAATATTTATTTTAGTGACGCATTTTAAATTTATTGAAATATGTTTGAAGAATTTCATCGTATTAAGATTTAAGAAACAGATTTACAATCCAATTTCACCTTCACAGAATACGGCTTTCAGCAAATATTCTGTAACCATTGCCAAAAAAAAAACCGCGATAGCAGTGGAAAATAAAATTGCCTAATTATCTCCTCTTTAGCACAATGTAGACAACAAGCACCTTCTGCTTCAATATTCACAAACATATTTATCACATTGAATCACCAATTCAATCGAGAATTCACGACTGATAATTGTCATACCATTTTTACACAAAAATTATTTCACTTCATTCGGATAATTTTTGTTCTTTGATATTTACGTCACTGGATGTTCTAAGAACGAAATTTTAATAATCACATTCTTTTAGATCATCCCACAGAGTATGAAAATTTTGAATTCGTCGTATAGATAGAGCCCAGGAAAAACATACGTCTGACTTGAATGGCGGCTTTGAAGCAACTGAGAACCATCCGTTCATCGAAGACTTTTTTGCCAGAAATGAAACGACCAACTGATGTACACTGAAAGCATGGAAAATCGGCGGGAAAATGGTTTCACTTGTCGTACAATTCGCTTGGAAATACTTCATCCCCACTCTATTTTCCATGGAAACTTCCAATGATTTTCCAAAAACAGGAGAGATTGCCTTTCTCTCACTGGAATATGAGAGTTATTTAGATTCTTTAATGGTGATTATTGGGCAAAGAGATACATTCTTTATGTGGGAAACACAAAAGAACAAAAACTTAAAAATTTACTTGATACATTCTACGATCGGGTGGTGATAATGGATTTGACTAATAAACAAACACCCTGGGCGAATAGTGCGAATAACAAAAGGTGGTAATTTGTGTGAAGAAAGTAAATATATCAACACACAATTATGATATATACAATCCCATTCAAAATTTACAATGTATTTGCTATTCTCAGTGTTCAATGAAATTCACAACTCAATTATGTGGATATAATCCTGGAAGCAAACTACTTTGACAATTGATCAAGCAATTGATAGTATGGCATTTCCTATGAAACCCATATGCAAACCGAGTACTTCATCATTTTGTCAATTTTCAAAGGGGTCTGCAAAATGGCACACACAATCCAGGAATTTTAGACATTAAATAAAGTTCATAAAACACAAGTTCACTCTAGTTCAGAAAGCTTACATACTTATTTGGAATATCATCCTATTGATGGCCTTCTCTCAATTAGAAGAGATACTTGAGACAGGTTTGTTTTTCAGTATCTTGTCAATTTGTCGACCAACCGGAAAGCTAAAGATAAAAAAAAAATTACTTTCAATTTTATTTTTCAGAACTATTAAACTTCTGTCAAATAATCTATTCTGTATACTAACCTAATCACTGTTATAAACCATGAGCACATATGACTTGATTGCAACCCCCGAAATGACTTAGTCTTCCTTCGATAAATCAATTGAAGTCCCCAGTGATAATCAATCAGGCTTACATTAACAATAGCCGTATAGCCATTAAATAGTTCATACGATACTTAATTCCACAATTCACTTGACTATCACTGCTAATAAATTACAATACAAGTGATTAAAATACATCAGTGTACTTGGAAATTATCATATCAAACATCGATAGACAAAATTTTTTTTTGGAATCATACACATTTTTTACAAACTACACACACATATATAAATATATAATATCATTTATTGGAAAAAATTTCTCTGTTTTATTTTTGCTGTTGATTATCTGTTCTGATGAAATTATCCTGTATTATCCAATTTACCCATTTCACTTCTCTTGGACTGTGATATAAGCGGAAGCTTTTCAGTAGCTCGGCACGTGCGACCGCATACTCGTCTCACATCTATAGAAAAAATTACAATAAAATCACTCATGTGACTTCGTAGTAGCTGCTTCATTAGCCATCATGCAGAAAATTATGAGATTTTGTCTTACACATTTCATCCTCATTTTCGACTTTACTCGTAAAAGATTACATGAGAAAAGTTTCATTCATATTCTGCAAATCTCACTATAATTATGCAAAGGTAGGAGTGTCTGAGATATAACATATGTACATGCCTCATGTCAAGGGAAGATACACACAATTAGGACACACTTTAATTGTCAAAAAACTTTAGAAACACATTAGTTTGTGTACGTGAATTGTTGGCAAGGTGAATTTGTACACCAAAATATGTTCAACGACGACAAGGAACTGTGCATTAGCGGTGTGCAATGGAGCGAGTGAATTGAGAAACTTTACTTAAGAATTATAAATACATTTTCTTATCTACACTATACTAGATTGTACAGACGAAGTGAAAGCTTTTCGGGAGAAATATTTGTCACTAAATGTACATTTACATGCTAATTCATTTTTGCCAAATTTATAAAAATTCAGTTATTAGAATAGTTTAATTTGAAGAATATTGAAAAAGTTAATTAATTGTTTCACATAAAAGAAAGGAATAATTAAACAATCTCTGCTTGTACAAATGAATCTTTTATCATGCTGTCGCATCGCACAAACACCCCGTTCCACTTCTAATGGATACGTCGTTTTCAAGACACAGCTCAAGGCAACCATTGTTCCACTCACTGAATAATCCTGTTATATTCAGAATACAGGTCATTCGCTATGATATAACTCACATATCCTAAAACTCACAAGTTATCAATATCCAAGTGCCTCAAATACTACGTTTAGATTTCTCAAGTATATGTATGTATTAGCTTTCCATGCAGCAATTGCTCTTATACTGTCCCGAAATGTACAATGCAACACAAAGCGCCATACACATGCTATGTATGGCGATATTGGCAGAGTGTTGTGTGTTAGTAAATTATTTTCCGGGAAGACAATAATAAAGTAAATCCAGTATTCCATAAAGATTATCATTTCCTTCAATTTACCGTTTGCACACCAAGAAAGACTGGTTCAATTTTATTTTATTGTTATGCCACAAGCTTGGTGTCTAAGGAACAAATAAATAGCAGAAATATAATTTGGCAACGACGACGATTTCCCGTAACCGTCTTCTATTTCATTCTGTCCTTACCCTTGTGTAAGGTGATTTTCTGGAAAATCTCCACGAAACAAAATATGTACTACGTATGTATATTTGTTTTGTGTGTAGTATATAACTGTATGTACATAAAATAATCTTGTCATATAACTATATATATAAGTAACGGAGAGTATAGATTTATATTTTATATAACCAAAAAAATGTATTGTACTTATTCAGTATGAGAACCGATGACGTGCTTTAAAGATTCTATTTCGATTATCTATGTTTCACCACTTTTTTAAATACATAACCAGTAGGTAGGGCAAAAAGGCTTCAAGTGCTCAATTGTCAATATCATCAAAAAGACTTTACATTTGAAAAGAACCACGTGGAAGAGGAAGATTTATGGCAAAACCCACTATATTGAAGTTTACAAAGAAATGATTGAGTGATTAAATTCCAAGAAAATATTCATATTTACTCTAAATTCCAATCAGAATGGCATGTGCAGATCCTTGTCGTCAGCGTCTCATTTCATTTCAACGCTGTGTATTTGCACAGGGAAAATCTTTCAGAAAAAACCATGTCGTTTCCTAGAAAATTCCATGAAAAGTAAATCATCGGTTGTTACTCTATGACCCTTGACTCTCATCATATGTATAAAATTGACGAGCAGAAGTTTCTTTTGACGTTAGAAAATATTTGTATAATTATTCACATTATTAAAAAAAAATGCTCACATAAGCGAAAATTCCAAAATGCAGGTGATAAAAAAATTTGGAATAAAATAACACTTGCAAACAAACATCTATCTCACATACACATTGCATACATATGCACATATGTAAGAGTATTCATTTTAAGAAATGGAAAAATGAATGAATGAAAGCGTAGATTGAATATGTGGGTGGTTATATATTTTGGTCCAAAATGATGCTTCCAGTGAAGTGATATTTTAAAACATTAGCATCAAAAAGGTACTATTGCTAATTTACGGAAATTCTTTTGATATTCTGTTAAATCGAGAGCTACATCATTTTATAAATAAAACCCCTAAGAAATGTTATTTATAGAGCAAAAGCAATTTTTTGTAAATCGAACATAAAATCACCACACAACATACGTTTAACCTAATGAGATCTCGCTTGAAAATATAATAATATTTGGCGTGAGAAAACACCCCATGTATTTGTTTTATCAGTAGTATAATTTGCTTCGTCAACAAAGAGAGATATTGTATATGGAATTAAAAGTGAACTCAGTCTAACACATTAAATTAATCTGCTGAACTGCTATCAATTCTTTAGAAACAATAAATACTTTGAATCTGCATTTCAATACTGCATATAAAAAATAGATGAATATAATAAACTGATAATCGAGTTTCGTACTTGACTTTGTATATTTTTGACCTGATGAACAAGTCTGGCATGTTAGCTTTATTCCTTTGCATCAGCAAATTCTGAAAAGAGCTGAGAGTTCACAATGTAGAGACCACGAAAATTGTCTCACTCAAAAAAGACTCATATTTGATCAGCAGCATTGGGTTTTCCATCAACTGTTTTTCACATGATTCAATATGAAAGTATTTGGTGAAATTTCCACGGAACCAATACAAGTAAAAGAATTCAATCAGACACTTAACGTGCTGAAGATTCACTTTACATCTCTACATCGTTTCTCGACTTTCTCCAATTGCATATTACTGCAGTGGACCAAATCGTAGAAACTGGCAAGATTTCGACAGCATGCACAAGTCTGATGGTTTTCACCCACATTTCTCGGGATTATAAATAATTCGCTGATAAGCATTTTGCCCATAAAGTGGTGCGATGTTGAGTACAGCTGTGAGATGGAAGTCATAGAATGAGCTATCGTCACAGTTGCTCTGTATTGGTGAATAGAAGAAAATAATCATATCAATTTCGCTGCCGCCATACGATATTGACTTTGTTGCCACTACCACGCGTAAAAAAAGGTTTTTCGCATAGACAACACAGACAAGTGATATCATTTGAACCAATAAACGTTTATTGAGTTTTTTTCTTCGTCCTCCTTTCCGGATGCGCCGCCACTGTCATAACCCACTCGCACATCATTTGTCAACCTTCGGGGGTGGTTTTTATGAAGCGTATGTACAGTCATAAAGCTCTTTTCCGACATGAACAGCCCTTGGGCATTCGAACGTGATGCACAATATATCTCTACTCACCCACTCCATGCTCCACTTCTAATCTACATTTTATACTGAAACCGGCAGAGAAGATCCTGCGTTATATGAACCAATATTTTCAGTTAAATTCAACAGTATATGCTAAATTGTGCGAAAATAATGCACGCAGAAGGGTAACTGATTTGGATACGATGTACAATGAATGAATTACTGAAGCATAACATGATAAATAAAAAATTTTTAAAAAGCAATAAAAGTAAATTTCCGTTATCTAGATAGAGAGAAAATATATCCGGCTTCTTTTCCAATGTGACTTAACATCTCCGTTTATTTCACCCCTTGACCCGACCAGAAGTTCACATCAACATCAAAATGAAAGAGTAAACCAGTCGCATTTCCGAACGAAAAATTTGTTTATCCAAATAAAGTGGGTGAGGAAACGTTCATCAAATTGAATTTACAGACAATTACACATTTTCATCCCGCCATGCACTACAGCAGAGTATTGTTTTATTAATAAACGCTCAAGTGGCGTGGTTTGTTTACAAAATCAATCCTACAACGATAAGACCAGAACACAAGCATAGGTTCAGTGATTTGTGTAGAGTGCCAATTGTGGTAAAGATGCTGAAAAGTTGCTTATGTTTACTTATAACATGTGCTTATGTTATCGTTCTCGCCAGTGCTAAAGGTAAACAACAATTTAATATTAAATTAAGATTATATTATAATAATTATTTTATTTTTCACGTTGTGTGGCAGTTTAAAGCGGATGAGACTGGTAAGAGATTTTGCTCTTTTGACACTCAACTGTCCTTTTGGGATAATGAAATACAGATATACCTACACAAAGAGGGGAAATTTCCCTGAACTTCGAAAGGAAGATATGGCAGATCTCTCAATTGTGCTGAAGAACAGATGACTCTGAAGCATTTTCCTGGCACTTGCGCAATATTTCTCGAGGGAAAATTTATGCAGTCTCATCAAATTTTCGTTATAATCCTCTCTTGCCTCTTCATGTTTCCTGAGGAAGAAAAATTGAGATTGTTGAGAATTTGCCAAGAGATGAATATTACAATGGAAGCTTTTCTTATCTTATCTGACTGTATTACACAGAGACACAATCGTACAAAGAAATACAAGAGAGAAAATTTCTCAGTTCCCGTCTAACAGCGATCGTGAGTGGACACTCAGCGAATATTTGCAATGTGAAACTAAGTGTTTAGTGATATAGTTAAGGAGATGGATAAAAATCTGCCCAATAATCCGCGGGAAAATGCCAATTTTCTCTCAAGGATCACCTTTTTCTGGATGATTAATCTCTTCAAACTCGGTTATCGAAAATCTTTAGAACTCCGTGATCTCTACAAGCCCCTCGTTGACGACAGATCAGCAGTTCTGGGTGATCGTCTTGAAGAGTAATGATATAGATAAAAATATTAACCCTTATCTCACTATCACTTCCCACACAAGTTGAATTGCCAGCCAAATACACTGCAAATCAAGCAGCAAACCCACTTCTCCGCTTATCATTGTCATATTCTTCCCTCCAGAAAGTGGCAAGATCAGCTGCGAAGTGCTCCGGCGAGGCCGTCACTTATCAAAGCGATAGCAATCACGTTTTGGCGCGAGTACGTCTGTCTTGGCCTGATTGTTGTGACGAACGACTTCGTGATTCGCCTAGGGCAGCCGCTCTTACTCCGTCGACTTTTACTCTATTTTCGGTGATTAAATTAAATTGATTCACCAGCGTTAAGTGCTTTTGGTTTCATTCACAATTCCCGTATATTTGCAGGAACGACAGCAACATATCTCACACCGAAGCAATAGTCTGCGCCATTGGAATTATTACACTCAATGGATTGGGTGTCTTCACATCCAACCATATTACATTTTGCGGTTGTCACAACGGCATGAAAGTGCGTGTCGCAGTATGCAGTTTGGTGTACCGAAAAGCTTTGCGTTTGTCCAGAGCAGCTCTGGGCAATGTTGCTCCAGGAAAAGTCGTCAATCTCCTCTCAAACGATGTCAACCGATTCGATATGGTGTCCGTGTTTGTCAACTGGCTCTGGTCAGCACCTCTTCTGGCACTCACCATCGGATACATTCTGTACGAACTTGTGGGTGTACCTGCTCTTATTGGGATTGCCATAGTACTTATCGTAATGCCACTACAATGTAAGAAGAGCATTTTTGCAATATTTTAGAAAATACCTTAAATCATCATCAATCACAAAATGTTTATGATGATGATTTCAACTATTTACTATATTATTTTAATATTTTGTATTTCAGCCTTTACGGGACGCTTGGCATCAAAATATCGTTTACAAACAGCTTTGAAGACGGATGAAAGGGTGCGTTTTATAGATGAAGTTATTTCCGGAGTACAGGTGATTAAAATGTATGCATGGGAAAAGCCAATTGAAACATTAATCACGACAGCTCGAAAATTTGAGTTGTCGGTCATTAGGAAATGTGCCAATCTCAGAGGGATTTACATGGCCTTTTCCCTCTTTACAACGCGATTAGCCCTCTTTGGCGCAATGGTAGCAATGACTTTGCTCAAATACGAAATGACCGCAGCAAGGATATTTATGATCTCTGCATATTATAATATTTTGGGACATACAATGTCTCAGATGTTTGTTCGAGGAGTTGCTGAAGTATCTGAGGCAATGGTGTCGTTCAAGCGACTTCAACAGTTTCTAGAACTCGAGGAACACATTCCTCAGTGTATCGATTATCAGCAAAAGATGGAGGAAACTGATTCTTTACTGCATAAATTTCCTGTGCAGAGGAAAAATGAAGAATTGCTAATTGCGAATAATTTGTCCATTTCAATGAAAAATGTCAGATGTCGATGGGAAAACTCCATCAAATTTATCAACAATGAAAAAATTTTGTTCAACAATAAGAATCAACCAAATCTCGCAGACATTAATTTAGATATTAAAACCGGAACACTGGTAGGTGTAATAGGACCTGTGGGATCAGGAAAATCATCCCTTATTGAGGCACTACTTCACGAATTGCCCCCGGAATCTGGTAGTATTGCTATCAACGGACGAGTTCTATATGTTTCCCAAAATTCTTGGATTTTCGCCGCCACTCTTCAACAAAATATTCTATTTGGTCAGCCGATGAGACATGCTAGATATCAGCAAACTCTATCAGCTTGTGCTCTAAATGATGATCTCAAGCAGTTTCCGCAGGGAGACAGAACAATCATTGGAGAACGTGGATCGTCTCTATCAGGCGGCCAGAAAGCTCGAGTGAATCTTGCTCGTGCAGTTTACCAAGAGGCGGATATTTATCTATTGGATGATCCATTAAGTGCTGTAGATGCCCACGTGGGACGACAATTGTATGATGAAGTGATAGGTCCCAAGGGATTGCTACGCCACTCAACAAGAGTCCTCGTGACTCATCAAATCCATTTCCTCAAAGAGGCAGACTGGATAATTGAACTGAAAGAGGTATGGAAAATTATAAACGTTATGTGAAATGTGAAATTACAAATGATTTTATTTCAGGGCCGAATTCGGAGACAAGGATCTCCTTCTATCATTTTGGAAAATACAGAAGAAACTGTATCGTCGGAAAATACAAAAAATGAAAAAACAACTCGAGAAGTGAATGGCATACTTGATATACAGAACACAGACAAATTGCCAAGTTTAGAGTTGGAAAAAACATCAGAAGGAGTTATCGATGGTTCCATTATTCTTCAGTATCTGCGATCAGGAGCATCCATCTGTGTCCTGCTGGTTATTGTAATGCTTTTTCTGCAAACACAAATTATTGCCAGTGCTTCAGACTATATCGTGGCCATTTGGACTCACCAAGGAGAGTTTCATGAGCCTACTAACTACTATTTGATTCTCAATGGATGTCTTGTAGGCTCCATATTTCTGCTGGCCATTATAAGGTCAATTGGCTTCTATGAAATCTGCATAAAAGCATCGCAAGAACTACACAACTGCATGCTCAAGGGTGTCATAGGAGCAACGATGCATTTCTTTGAAACGAATCCCTCAGGGAGGATTCTTAATCGTTTCTCTAGAGATTTGGGATCTGTGGATGAGCTTCTCCCAAAAGTTCTCCTGGATGCCAGCCAGATGATATTGAGTATTTGTGGTGCAATACTCGTTACAGCCACTGTTAATCCTTTGTTCCTTATACCCATCGCTTTCCTAGGAATTGTGTTCATCACCGTGCGACAATGGTACCTGAAATCGTCCAGGAATATTAAAAGACTTGATGGAATAAGTAAGAATGAATATTTATATCAAAATTGAAAAGATTGAATTGAACTCATTCTTCCAGCACGTTCTCCAGTTTTCACTCACCTGGCTGCTTCCTTAAGTGGCTTGTCGACAATTCGAGCTTTTGGAACAGAAAACCGTCTTGTGGATGAATTTGACTCTCTCCAAGATGTGCACTCCTCTGCCTGGTATCTCTTTATTTGCTGCACCAGCGCTTTTGGGCAAGTTCTAGACTTTCTCAGTGTTATCTTCGTGGCAATTGTGACTTTTACATTTCTAATAGTAGACAATCGTAAGTATTTTCCGCAAAGGTTCATTTAATGTGAAAATTATCTAAATAATTCTATTTCCTCTATTCGGTATTGTGGAGAATTTAGAAATGATTGGAGACAAAGTTGGTCTGGCCATCACACAATCTCTCACCCTTACCGGCCTCTTAGGCTGGGGAATTCGTCAAACTGCTGCAACTTCCAATGCATTGATGTCGGTTGAGAGACTTTTGGAGTATAAACAACTTGAACCAGAGCCCGAACCAGTTATTCCATTGAAGCTAACAAAGTTCTGGCCACTTTGTGGTGAAATTATCTTTGACACTGTATTTTTAAAGTATCACAAAAATTCTGATCCCGTACTCAAGGGGATTTCCTTTAGAGTAGCTCCCAGAGAGAAAGTAGGAGTTGTGGGGCGCACTGGCGCTGGTAAGACTTCTCTGATTAGTGCCCTATTTCGCATGGCGACGGTTGAGGGAAAAATCATGATCGATGGAATAGATATATCATATTTGTCGCTTAACGATTTAAGATCTCACCTTTCCATAATCCCTCAAGATCCTGTCTTGTTCTCCGGAACACTGCGAAGTAATCTAGATCCCTTCGGAGAATACTCAGACGATGACCTCTGGCAGGCATTAAACGAGGTGGAGCTGAAAAGTATTGCATCTGACAAAAGTGGTTTGGACATGCCTGTTAAAGCAGGAGGAAATAATTTCAGTGTCGGCCAGAGGCAACTCATATGCCTGGCAAGAGCACTCCTGCGCAATAATCGAATACTGGTTCTCGATGAGGCCACAGCGAATGTTGATCCTCGCACAGATGCTCTCATTCAAAGAACAATCAAGGAAAGATTTAAAAATTGCACCGTCCTCACGATCGCCCATCGTCTCAATACTATCATGGACTCCAATCGCGTCCTTGTAATAAGTAATGGGATTATCGCGGAATTTGCAAGTCCAGATGATCTTCTTCAAGATCCCAACAGTATTTTCTCAAAATTACACAATAATTGTTGAGTGTGAAGAGTGAAAATTTACGAAAGATGAAACCTAATTTTACTTTATCTGTATGCCCCTCATTTTAGGACAATAAAGAAATTATTATGCAAAATCTCATCTTTTTGTGTGTCTTTTTGACAAAACTGGTCCTAACAAATACACTCCCATTCGACTATCGACATGGCTTATCACTGGGAATCCAATAAAAAGCCTGGTCATCACTTTTCCCTCTCAATTTGGTGTTGTTTGTGCAAGATTACAGTGCAAAGTTCACGATGGAGGCAAGGAGGCGTCAATTGCTTCCGAATCCCGGCATTCGAGAAAATTTTTTCTCATTGCTCACTTTCTATTGGAGTTACCCAATTATCGCGAAGGGATTTAGAAAAGTTATACAAGTGCGTGATTTGTGGCGACCCTGTAAACAACATCGATCAGAAGTGATTGGAAGTGAGCTGGAAACCAAATGGGATGACGTTAACAGGGAACGTATCAACTTTCGCCTCCCAAGGGCCTTGTTAAGGACATTCATCAAAGATTACTGGGCAACAGCTGGTCTAATGACCTTATCCATGTTTATTGCCCGTCTTGCCATACCAGTATATCTTTATCGGGCATTCTCTTACTTTCTTGATGAATCGATTAAATATCAAGATCAAGACGCTAGATATTGTGCATTCGGATTTCTTGCCATAGTAATCGCGAGTATCATCGTGAACAATCACAGCGCCTACTCAAATTTCTTCACGGGCCTGAAAATGCAAACGGCTCTTGGAAGTTTAGTCTACAAAAAAGTGAGTATTCCATCATCAAATAGAGCAATTGAATTAATAAACGGGACCAATTTTTTTTACTTTATTGAACATTTTAAGGCCCTCCGATTATCGATGTCGTCGTTGAAATCAAGTACTGTGAAATGTATTCAATATAGTCTCACTATGGATCCCGGCCGTTTGGATGTGATGTCATTCTATCTCCATTATTTATGGTTGTCTCCCTTGCTGTTCCTTGGACTTGGTTCAGTAATGTACGTGCAAATTGGAAAATGTGTGCTTCCTGGACTTGTGATAATTATTATGTTGGTGCCATCTCACGAAATCATCAGCAAGTGCTACACTCACTTCTTCGGAAGACTAGAGGCGAAATCAAGGCTGCGATATTTCAAAATGAAGGAAATTATCGACAATATTGAGATAGTTAAAAAACACGCTTTGGTCAAATATTTCATTGGGATTGTCTCAAAATTGAGGAATCAGGAACTGAGAGTCCTTCGCTATGGCATTTTTGGGCATGCCTTTCATGTGGTGCTGATGATCTTTACGTCCAGAATCGCTTTGCTCGCCACTCTTATTACTGTAATATTGACGAATAATCACTTCAATACCTTGTCATACGTCATACATTTATACTACTTCGACATCCTCACGATCGCCGTTACTCAAATCTTTACAAGAGCGATCAAGCAATTCTGCGAGACGATAAAATATCTCACGGAGGTCGAGGAATTTCTGGACCTGGAGGAAATGTCACATTTGCGTCAGGATAGAGGAAAGAAAAAGAAAAAGGACGTTCCTTTAGAATTTGATGATAAGTTTCCTGTAGCCTTGAAGAATGTGACCAGCACCTGGAACATGTTCCCCAAAGATGGTTTCAAGCTCAAGAAAATGACTGTAAAACTTAAGAAAGATGCACTTGTTTGCATTATTGGACCCCCTGAGTGTGGAAAAACTTCTCTGATTAACACCATTCTTCAGGAAATGTGGATCACTGGTCAGTATAGAAGTTATACTATGAATTACGTGCCTTATTTTACCTTTTACACTTCTCTTTGCAGAAGGACATGTTGCAGCAAATGGTCCATTTGGTTTTGCTCCTCAAGATCCATGGATATTCTCATCCACTGTCAGGCAAAACATTCTCTTTGGCAGTGCTTTGAATATGAAAAGGTATGAAAGTGTCTTGAAAGCATGTGCTCTACTCCCTCACGTAAATCAATTCCCGAGAGGAGATCTCACAATATTAAGCGAAGACGAAACTATCCTGTCCCTGCAACAGCAGCTCATCATCAATATAGCCCGAGCAGTCTACAAGAAATGTGATGTGTACATCTTCGATGACAATCTCACGGGGCTTAATACACCAACATCTCGGTACATTTTCGATCGTGTTCTGGGCTCTAATGGACTGCTAAAGAAATCTTTGAGAATCCTCGTCACCAATGAACTTGAGTACATCAATAAGGCAGATTTTTTGATTATCATGGATAAAAATGGAATTAAAAATACTGGACAGCCGTCAGATATCACTCTGAGTGAATTGTCCTATCTTACTCCGGCTGATGAAGATAAACGTAGAGAAGAATTGGAAAGAGAATACAAAAAACTTACTTTGGCAGACATATCTGGAATTAAGGAGGAAGATAAGAAATATTATGAAGAGTTGGACAATGATGACATCGAAGATACAGAGGGAAATGGATTTTTCAATGTGGAGTACTCATCAGGAAGATACAACTCCTTCTTTCGATATATTTATGAAGGAGTTGATTCATATCACCTCATTTTAGTAATGGTTGGTTTCCTTCTCGTGTACGCCATCATTGTATTTTCGGATCTCTGGTTGTCATTCTGGTAAGAATTTCTTGTAAAAATCATTAAATCATTAAATTATTAACTATTCCTCTTCTTTTAAGGGCGACTTTGGAAACCGCAATAACGGAAAGGGAAATAATATGTGCAACAGACAAATATTGCAATAGAGATTTGCTCAATTTATCCAAAAAGTTTACCTTCCACTATCACGGATTCTACGACATTTTTAAGCAAACTCAAAGCAGTATCAAAGAACATGTGAAATTCCTATTGTATTTACCGGAAACAGCTCCATGTGCTGTTGTCTATTCAATTGCCATCGCTGTAGCCTTCATTTTGTGCGTCATGATCAATATGTGCTTTTCACAAATATGCTTTAAGTCCAGCAAAAGTTTACATGAAAAGCTCCTCAATAAGATGTCATCAGCCACTTTGTCATTCTTCTACAGAACCCGAAAAGAAAAGATCCTAAAACTTTTTGATCAGGATATGAAAGTTATAGACAGTTTTGTTTCCACGTCTCTACTGGAGACTATAAATCTATTTTTATGGATTGGCGGCTGGATACTGAGCACATTATATGCAAGTTATGACTTCTCGTGTCCCATCGTTGGAATCTTCATCTTGTACTTCGCAATGCAATATCGACTGTTAAGGACTACAAAGAGACTAGGCCAAATTGAAGTGAAAATAAAAAACCGACTAACAAGACACTTGAATAGTAGCCTGAAAGCTGCCCATATAGTCAGAGCATTCCAAGTTGAGAACGAAGTGTTGGAAGATTTTTATAACCTGCAGGATGTACATACTTCCACAATTTCAACATTCCTCATAACAACATCTGCATATTCCGTCATATTAGAAATACTTTGCATGGGTGGAGTTGCCGCAATTACTATAAGTTTCTTCTCAGGAATCATAGGTACATTTAATCTGGATTTGTAACAAAGAAACCTTGCTTACACATTAATTCATATCTTTTCAGACATCCCAAAACATCTTATGCCCTTCATTCTCGTACAACTAATTGGCTTCACGGGAATGCTGGGGTGGTCACTTAAGCAAACAGCCTCGTCAGCCAGTGAATTAACTTCAGTTGATCGGATCTTAAAATATTGTAACGTGCAACAAGAGATGGATCCAGAAAATCCTGAGAAGATCCGACGAAATTGGCCGGAGTACGGAAGAATCGTTTATAAAAATGTCTCAGTAGTCTACGAACACGATTTGTTGGGAATCCACGATGTAACATTCAACTTTAGAGCTCGAGAAAAAATCGCAATCGTGGGAGATAGTGGTTCGGGCAGGACATCCTTCGTGAATGCAATATATCGAATTGGACTCCAAAAAGGAACTGTTGAGATCGATAGAACAGATATTAGCAATATTTCCATGGAAGACATCCGCTCAAACATAATGACCATTACTAAAACACCCGCAATTTTTTCTGGCACCATTAAGAGGTGAGAAATTTAATGATATAAAAATTAGTTTCAATTTAATTCACTCATCATTCTTATTTCATTGCAGCAATTTGGATCCTTTTAACGAATACCAACTCAGTGATATACGATATGCTCTCGAGGCAGTTCATCTTGGTGACTTGGATCTTGATGAAGAAGTACACGATGATGGGGATAACTTGACTCTTCAGACTTGTCATCTTCTCACCTTCGCTAGGGCAATTCTTCGTAATAACCGTATTATCATTCTGGATGAAGCAATGGCAAATATGGACCCAGAGTATGTAAATTAAATCTCCATCTCTACAGCACATTCTCACACTTTTTTCTAATATTTAATAGGACAATTGAAATAGTTCAGACAATTATCGAGGAATATCTGAATGAAAACACAATATTTACCATCACCGACCAGCTCGAGCATATCATGTACTCCGACAGTGTTTTTGTCCTTAAGCAGGGAAAAATCATCGAACAAGGTCTGCCCTATACTCTTCTACAGAAGAATAATGGACATTTTCGCAAGATGGTTCATGCCTACAAAAAAGTTTCCCCGGACGACTTAATTGCAATCGCCACTACGAAAGTCCAAAAACACCCTTATTTGATAATTAACTAAAACTATCACTGTTCTATTTTACTTGTCTGTACTAAATTGATGTGAAATGATTAACAGTGTGATCACTTAATGTTTTTAAAGCATCTCGAAATGCGTATAATTGTATTCTATGATTAATTAAAGTATAAGAGCATGAAATTCTTGAGTGTTCCTTATTTGAATGATGATTATTATGATATGACATCAGCTATTGCTTTATTTGATGAAAAACAATTGTGTATTTACTTGCCTATTTATTTTATATAAGATTGCTTTTGGCCAAGAGTTGATAATCGTGATACGAGATTTTTCACATTTATATTATTTTAATCCGATAAATGTTATCAGTTTAATTTTTATATTTACAAAACATACATAATTTTGACCTTAGAATATTCAGATCATTCATGATATGACTTCAACAGTTGCAATATTTAGTCTTTTCCATCTTATCTTCGAGCAATATGCGGTATACGCTTGAATTGTTTTACAGTTCCTTGCTAGTCAATTGAAGTGCGGTCGGAGACAATTATAATTCATTGCTTGTAGGCAGTCGTTATGTGTCGGCCTCCATCGATTTCAGTATCAAATGCAAAATAATTAAGCTCATATCCCTGACAATGACCAATTGATTGTAATTGAAAGAAATACACATCAAAGTGTGATTGTTTCATAATCGATTCAATGATCTCTCTTGCACTTCAATTGAGCGAGTTGAGCGCGAGGTGTGCGTCACTATAAGGCACACCATGTTCAGAATTCTGAACAGTGGCGTTTAGATGCTAATTTCACACATTCTCCGTTAGCACTATCTTATCAACAGGTGACAGCGACGTTTTCAGTGTATTGTTGCGTGGGCCTCTGAAGAGCTCTATGTGGCATTGTAACCGCAGAACTCCCATTATTCCCCCTACAGTCACATCGGCATACAATCAAAGCGAATTCCCCAGTTTCTCGAGCTAGCGCCAGCGTTGAGAACACTCAACTCGACACTCTTCGTCAGTCGGCAATTGGATTTGGTTTGGGATAGCAGCCAAACTCGGGATCGATAGCAATAAAGTCTTTCACGGCATTCATTCCCTTTCGAGAGTGTATTTCTTGTGAGTGTATGCGGCAGTAAATTATTAAATATAAAACATTTCTTTCTCCTCTTATCGTACAGCTAGTGTGAATTGCCGATATTGTGAAATACAACCGCTGAAAATTTGCCATCTCACGCATCCCGCGATACAGTGTAGTGATTTTTTTTAAGACTCCACTGTGTAACCTTGAGTTGGTATGCTTTTTTCTGTATCTGTTTCTATCATAAATCTATAGAGCGGCTCGAAAAAGAGAGGAAACACTATATGATTAGGTGATTCTGCTACACGTTTATGAATTAACATATGTGTATGTAGTTGAGCTAAAATTTAATGCACTGTGTATTCTGGTAATGTATAAAGTCACTGTTTGTTAATCATTTTTATCAGCCAGTAATAGATACAGCGCGTCAACGCGGAGTGCTCAAGATTATCATAGTGCAAGAAATGAATGTCACCAGTGTAAACATATAAAAATCCAAACGTTACATAAACGAATTTGTTTGTGTGTTCCAAATAGGACAAATGTACGAAGCTTTCCGATCATAAAAAGCTCATAAAGTTCGACAAGTGTGTTAAAGCGTTTTTTAAATAGATATACATATAGTTAAGGGCCAACCTATTGAGTATAAAGTGTAAAAAATCGGTTGTGATCTTATGTGCTTCGAAGCCCACTCGAAATGGAAGCTGCTCACAGAACTCTACTCCCAAATCCAAGAGAGAAAGCCAATATAGTGTCAGTTCTTACCTTCTGGTGGACTATTAAACTCTTCAAGAAGGGCTACCAAAAAGTTCTTGAACTAGAAGATTTATTCCGACCTCTCACCGAAGACAATTCTGAGGTTCTCGGTGATCGTTTGGAAAGGTGAGTGTTTGCTTAGAAATTTTTACAATTCAATAAGTAGATTAAAATACTTATCATAAATTACGATGATTTGCTATTTCAATTCCATTCTATTTGATGAACTCTCATATAATATGGATGAAGAATCGCTCTTGAATTGTGGAGACAAAAGCCTTAACAACGTAGTACAGAGACAATCAGCTGAAAAGGCGATACCTTATCACCTTGTTAATTAATTTATGAAAGAAAAGTGACTTTCTGATATCTAGTAATCGTGTATGTAATGGTTGATACTCATGCTCAAAGTAATTACTGTAAACAAAAACACTATTTAAGATATACATACAGATAGAATAAACTCCGCGAATTTCAACCTTCTCCTCATTCTGCATGATTTGCGATGTATGTTGAAATTGGAAACTAAATAAATCTATTTTTACTGATCGCTACACACATTCTGACTCAAATTTATCTGGATCTGGCTTCTATTGCATCTGTAGACACAACAATAACTTCTTCAACCATTGCGTTTCCATTTTTTACAAGTCTGATGAATTTTACTTTGCTTTAATAGTATTAAAAAGTATATTTCCTTATACATATGTATGCATGCATACTTATTCAGATAATTAAGATAAAACCATTCATACATGCAAAATTGCTGAACTCGCAGCCAGTGTCACATGAATGTGAATCGAGATTATATTGTCTTAAAAATGTGTAACATGGTCATCTGGAGCCTTGATTAGATTTTGTCTTAAAGAGCTTTTTTCAATGGCAATGTGCCCTATTTTGATTTTGGAATTGAGTTTACGATAAAAATATTACGTTTACCAAATTGTATGTTCTATGTGACATTGAAAGATTTTAGCGGCAGATAGCAATCCAATCATTAATAATTAGCATTATTCAGCATTATTTAGTGTTTAAGAACAGCTCATTTAATCCATTCTCGATTTCCTTAATTTCTCATCAACTATCTATATTTTTTTCTTGGAAAATTATTGTTTCTTTTGAGGTTCTTTCCACTGAAAAAAAGAACGAACAGAAAAACCTTACAATAGTAATATTTTATTAGTTAACTATGTTAAATCAGAGAAGGCATTAAAATACAAAGCATTGTAATTTAAATATAAGTTTGTCTCTTATTTCTCCCAAGATTTTGCTTGAATCGAATTAACAATGTACATAATGTACTATAATCAGAATACGAGATTATACACTTTTGTGGACTTTAGAGAGTTCTTAACATTCCCGTTTGTTGTATTAAGAAAATGATGGAATAAAATGAAAATTATAGTCTCCACATCTACAAGTCATCAGACTGTAGGTATTTGACTGTATTATTTCCTAGAGACATGCGGAGACACTGAAATGCAACACACCCATGAAATGAAAATTAAAATAAAGCAAAAAGATTATGAAAATGAGCACACAGTGTGAATTGTAAATATTTCTTCTATTCATTCTCAGAAAATGGAACGAACAAGTGAAAAAATCAAATGGCAATCCATCTCTCATAAAAGCTGTGGCATTGACTTTCTGGAGAGAGTACAGTTTAATGGCACTTCTCGTAATTGTGAATGAAACTGCAGTACGACTTGGACAACCGATTCTACTGGGGCGTTTACTCATGTACTTCAGGTAGAGAGCATTGAACTAATAAGTAGTTACAAAAAGTTATTGTACTGAGATAACACATTTTCACATGATCTTTGAATGATGATTTACTTGATCTTTTTCAGGCCCGATAACGATATGTCGCACAAGGAAGCTCTTCTGTGTGCTGGAGGTATCGTAGGACTAAGTCTGTTCTACACAATTACCGTGAATCAGTACATATTTGACGCCTTTTACTATGGAATGAGAGTGAGAGTTGCCATGTGTAGTATTATTTACCGCAAAGCATTAAAGCTCTCCCGGACCGCGCTGGGAGATACAGCACCAGGGAAGGTGGTGAATCTGCTATCCAACGACGTGAATCGCTTCGATCTGGTATCCGTTTTTATTCACATGATGTGGGCTTCTCCACTTATGGCCATCGTCGTAGGATATTTGCTATGGATTGAAGTCGGCTGGGCGGGAATCGTAGGAATAATTGTGGTCTTCACTGTCGTGCCTTTACAATGTAAGATTAGAATTTTTCACAATCATATAATATTCACTCATACTTTTCTTCACCAACAGCCTACACCGGAAAGCTGTCATCAAAGTTCCGTCTTCAGGCTGCTCTTAAAACTGATGAGAGAGTGCGTTTCATGGATGAAATTATCTCAGGTGTTCAGGTTATCAAGATGTATGCATGGGAGAAACCCTTTGCTAAGCTAATCTCCGCCACACGAAAACTGGAATTAAAGATCATCCGAAATAGTGCCTTCGTGAGAGCTATTTATATGACTTTTTTGCTCTTCACAACACGCATGGCACTCTTCTGCACCATGTTAACAATGGTCCTAATGGACAACGACATTACGGCTGCCCGAGTGTTCGTCATCTCGGCATACTTCAATATTTTAGCCTATACAATGTCACAAATGTTTGTGCGTGGTGTAGCGGAAATCGCTGAAGTACTTGTGGCACTGAGACGCTTGCGAATGTTTCTCATGTACGAGGAGCGCGATGACTATACTTGCCGATCGAGAATTGTAAAAGACTCGAAGAATGGCGCACCCCTTGATTTTGCTAAGACTCTCAACAGCTACGACGATCCATCCAGGGAATATCTGGTTTCTGTGAAAAATGCCACGGCCAAATGGAAAATGCCAGAAAAGCCTGGCAAACAGAAGAAAAAATCACATAAGGAGGAAAAACCTGTTCCAGAGAAATCCATTGACGGTAGCGTGGATTGGCAAGCTCCAACCCTTGATAACATTTGTCTGGAGTGTAAGAAGGGGAATTTAATTGGGATTGTAGGTCCAGTCGGAGCTGGAAAGTCCTCGCTATTACAAGCAATTCTTAAAGAATTACCACTGGAAAGTGGATCGGTTCAATGCCATGGAAAATTGTCTTATGCCTGCCAAGAGCCTTGGGTATTTGCCGCCTCTATCAGGCAAAACATTCTCTTCGGTGAAGAAATGGACAAAGATCGTTACGAGGCTGTGATTAAGGCATGTGCACTCAACCATGATCTTGAGCAATTTCCAGCTGGTGATCAAACTGTTATTGGGGAACGTGGAGCCTCTCTATCAGGTGGCCAAAAAGCAAGAGTGAGTCTGGCGAGAGCAGTTTACCGCCGAGCCGACATTTACCTATTTGATGATCCCCTGAGTGCTGTGGATGCTCATGTAGGTCGCCACTTATTTGACCAGGTGATCGGACCGCGAGGCCGCCTAGGATCGAGAAAGATCACCCGCATTCTAGTCACCCATCAGGTGCACTTTCTCAAGGATGCCGACTGGCTGGTCGTTCTGAAAGATGGCCAGATCGAGGTACAAGGACCACCGTTAGAAGTCTTTCGAAGCGGAATTGATTTTGCCAAACTCCTAAATGCCGAGGATGGTCTCGAAGAAGAACAATCTGAGGGAGGACCAAAGTTCAGAAGACAGCAATCAGTGTCATCCTCAAGATCAATGTCATCCAGGAACTCCTTGAGTTCCGATGATGAATCCATGGAAATGGTGGAAGGAAATAAGGACGGAGAAAAAGAACCTGCGATGGTGTCTATGGAGGCAACTTCCAAGGGTAAGGTTAAGGGATCAATCTTCTACAACTACCTTAAAGCTGGTGGAAACTGGTGTATTTTGTCTGTCATGCTGATCCTCTTTATCATTACCCAATTCATGGCTAGTGCCTTTGATTACTTCATCGCCTTCTGGACATCACAAGAAGAACTTCGAGATATGTACAATCCAACTCTTGAAGCCGACTTTATGATAGCTAATAACTCTATCAAAGTTGTCGAATCCGATGACATTCCAAACCTCTTGGATACAGAAATTTGTATCTACATAGCAGGAGGACTAGTAATGTCACTATTTGTCTTCGGTCTGATAAGATCTCTGGGCTTCTATACGATGTGCATAAAAGCATCACAAAAGCTTCACGATGGAATGTTTAATGGCATAATTTCAACCACAATGCGATTCTTCGACACCAACCCATCTGGCAGAATTCTAAATCGCTTCTCAAAGGATCTCGGATCAACAGATGAACAACTGCCAAAGGCGATTCTGGACGCTACCCAGATTAATCTGAGCATGTTTGGAGCTATAATAGTAGCTACAACAGTTAATCCACTCTTTCTTGTTCCCATCGCTGGTCTCACTGCGGTTTTCTTATTCATAAGGAAAATCTACTTGAAAACCTCAAAGAACATTAAGCGTATGGATGGCATCACGAGATCTCCAGTGTTCACCCATCTGGGAGCATCCCTCATGGGATTACCTACAATTCGTGCCTTTGGAGCGCAAGAGGTTCTCGTGAAGGAGTTTGACGCTCTTCAGGATACGCACACAGCATCTTGGTACATGTTCATCTCATCAAGTGGAGCCTTCGGCTACGTGATGGATCTTCTATGTGTCATATTTATTTTCTTCGTTACGTTCAGTTTTCTACTTATAGAAAACGACACAATGGGCGACCAAGTGGGTTTGGCTATCACACAGGCAATGGCCCTCACAGGATTCCTACAGTGGGGAATCCGACAGAGTGCCGAAGTAGCTAATCAACTCATGTCCGTAGAGAGGGTGATGGAGTATCGAGACTTAGTGCCGGAGAAGCAACCTGAAAAGCCCCAAGACTTGCCAAAAGACTGGCCAGAGAATGGCAAATTGCAGATGACGAGTGTCGTTTACAGATACTTCAAAGAGGCCGATCCAGTATTAAAAGGCGTAAATTTGTTCATCAGGGCCAAAGAGAAAATTGGAATCGTGGGAAGAACCGGGGCTGGGAAGTCCTCGCTTATAGGAACTCTTTTCCGCCTTGCAGAGGTCGAAGGAGATATTGAGATTGATGGAGTAAAAACAGACCAAATTACACTACAGCAGCTGCGTTCCAAAGTCTCAATAATTCCACAAGATCCTGTTCTTTTCTCGGGTACCCTCAGAAGGTAAGTCATGTATAAATTAGAGGAGAAATTTTTCTTATCTGTTAATACATTTTAAGTGTGCAAAAATTATAAATCGTGAGCTGAATGGTTTCAAATTGAAAATAAAAAATTATCACTTCAGGAATTTGGATCCGTTCGAGGAATACAAAGATGCCTTATTATGGCAAGCCCTTGAGGAAGTGGAGCTAAAAGATATTGCAAGTGGCCCTTTGGCATTGCAAGCTGAAGTTCTCGCTGGTGGAAGTAACTACAGCGTTGGGCAGCGACAGCTAATTTGCCTGGCCAGAGCTATTCTGCGCAACAATAAGATTCTAGTTCTCGATGAAGCGACAGCAAACGTGGATCCCAAGTAAAACCAGTTTGACTTAGCATTTCTGAAAGTATGAGCCCTAAAGTGAATTTCTCTTCCAGCACCGATGCCCTCATTCAGCAGACAATCAGAAGCCGCTTCGCCGACTGTACAGTTTTGACGGTGGCTCATCGCCTTCACACAATTATGGACTCCGACCGCGTTCTGGTCATGAATGATGGACTTGTAGGCGAATTTGATGCGCCACATATTCTACTTCAGAACACCAACGGTCTCTTCCGCGAAATGGTCAATGCTACAGGACCTCAAGAATCTGAACGACTCATGAGAATAGCTAGAGACACATTTGAATCGAATTCTAAATGACTTTGTAATATTTCTAGGGAGATATAATATAATAATTGTGCCTTAAATATCTAAAGCACCTCAAGTATTCATGGGATTTTAAGGTGTCTGACTTGCCACGACACCAACAACAGGGAAATTTAGATTCAATGCTATATTTTCAGATGAGAGCATTTTGATAAAGGGGAAATATATACACGTTTGGATTTGTTGTACCTCCTTACCTGAAATAAATCTCAAGTAAATCTATTTCTTAATACCGTTGAACACTAGTGCTTCTGATAAAAAAAAGACATATACATAATAATATATACATAAATATTTTCTATGGTTTTTCTTTATTTTCAATTTCCAATCTGTTTCATGTCTGTTGCATATTTGAAAAAAATATTTACGCAGCCATCGCCGCAGCCTAGACGAAATCGTGCAATTTACACCGGCCTGCGGTTCCAAAGGCGCTCGTTGTCAAGTGCTATACGCTTATTTCTCCCATTTTTTGGAAGAATCGAGGAAGTTCGAGCCGCTGTGAAATTTCACGTGATAGTATTCTTCAGGGATCATGTCTTTTTTCGGGAATACTAGTGCTCTGGGCACCAGCACACCGGCTAAGCGTAAGAATTATTTGAATAAGGTTATGTTCACTGTGTTTTGTCTTCTGTATTTGCTCTAAAAACAGCAAGAGTCTTACTAATCAGTGTGCTAGAGGACTAGTTTCCGTACTCTGATCTCTGGACTTTCTCCTCCAGTCGTTTCTTGTTTGGAGCTCCATCTCCCGAATACTCCGTCTGCAAAGGGGGTGAAATAAGAACTCGTTGATGTTTGCTGAAAAGCTTCCGGACGAGAGCTTACCTTTTGAAGAAAAAGAACCCCGTGATTCCAATAATTGCAATAAGGACAGAGATGCCAAGAGCAATTGAGATACAAATGTAGAATCTGGTGACTTTATCTTTGCCCAGGATCAAAATAGCCTTTGTCGTTTCTTGGGTCGCTTCCAGAATATCAGATACGTCACTCTGGATGCCCAGAATCTCACTAGAATTACCATCCACTGTACCCGGAAAGGGTGTCGTGGTCGTTTGATTTTTCATGTATGAGAAGAAGAGGTGCGGAACTCGATTTCTCTTCTGACCTAGTCGTATGAATTGATCTAGTGAACTGCCTTCCGTGGCGTTCATACTTATCTTCCCACTTCCTGATCGCTCTTCTTTTGCACTCCTTCACATAAAATGCCTCCTATCTCACCAACAATTACCACAGACACTGATTCAATCATTGGCTCTCTTTCTCTTACGCTGAACGCCTATATTGACTGAATAAATTGGATTAGAACTCAGTGAGTGACCAAGAGTTCGCACTTCATGTCTATCATGTAAACTCTTCTGCATAACACTAGCCCCAACTACTCATGCTTTGTTTTTCTTCTCATCGATTCAGCTACTGGATTTGGCAGTTTTTCTTTTGGCGCACCAACCTCAACTCAACAACCCTTCGGCCAAACTCCAGCTTTTGGGGCTCCATCAAGTGCTCCCTCGTTCAATTTCGGCGCTCCTACCACATCTGCTCCAACTTTGGGAGGATTTGGAGGCTTTGGAACAACGACAACGTCAGCCCCATCGTTTGGTGGCTTCGGAACTACCACCACCACGAGCGCAGCTCCAGCTTTCGGGGGATTTGGATCAACTGGCTTTGGAGGTTTCGGTTCCTCAGCCACAACAACACCCGCTCCATCGTTCTCAGGCTTTGGTCAAACAACTCAGTCGGGATTTGGAAGCTTTGGTACGGGCTTTGGTGGCTTTGGCCAGCAAAAACCTATAACATCCACCGCTCCGGCGTTTGGAGGATTCTCAGGAGGCTTTGGGGCCCCTCAACAACAACAGCAAACTCAACTGACACCAGATGAAGCTTTTACTCAATGTATTTTCAAGGTAATAGCGTTGGCTATGGTGCTTTGGGAAACGTGAATAGTTGCATAATTTCACAATTTTTTTCAGGTATCCTTCTTCGGAGACGAACGGGATACGACAATTGCACGATGGAATTACTTGCAAGCTATGTGGGGCACCGGGAAAGCGTACTACACTCAAATGGCACCTCCCGTGGAAATAACACCGCAGAATCCCCTGTGCCGCTTTAAGGCTATGAGCTATAATGAAATTCCTGGAAAAGACAACAAGATGGGAATGGTTGGATTAGTGTTCAACAAATCTCTGGCACAAATCAAAGATCTCCAGCTCCAACTCGTGCCTACATTGAACCAAATGCTGGGTGGGAATCCTAATGTGTCCATAAATATTGACAATGTGCGGGGATTGAGTGATGAGAAGAGCCAGGTTACGATCTACGTGGAGGAAAAGTCACCCAACACAAACGAGGTGAAGAGAGTGTCTGCCACAAATCTTGCAAATTATCTAAATCAACCAATGACAAAGGGTCAACTCAACAACTTTGCCATAGAGCAAATTGTGGCGCAAGTGCAGCCTGATGAGGATCAGTTGAAGGAATATCTGATGAATCCACCACGAGGAATCGATCCGCGCATGTGGCGACAGGCCATTCAAGACAATCCAGATCCCACGAGACTTATTCCCGTGCCGGTGATTGGTTTTCAAGAACTAAAGTGGCGCACAAAGTGTCAAGAAGTTGAGACTGACATGCATAATCAATACTTGGCCAAAGTCACGAGAGATCTGGAGAATCTCAAGCAACGCCACACGAGCTCCACGGCCAAGATTATGGAGTATCGTCGTAAGTTTGCCGAACTGAGCCATCGCATCCTCAAGATCATTGTAAAACAGGAGATCACACGAAAGATGGGTGTAGCCATGTCACCTGAGGAGGAGATTCTGCGAAGCAAGTTGGAGAATATGCAAGCTCTAGTATCGGCGCCAACGCAGTTCAAAGGCCGTCTCAGTGAGTTATTGTCTCAGATGCGGATGCAGCGTGATCAATGGAGTCACTCGGGTGGCAGTAATGAATATAAGTTAGATAAGGACTCCACCGATGAGATGCAGACGTTCCTCGCAATGCAGCAGAAAGCCATGGCACTCCTCATTGAGACCATGAACAAGGACATCAGGGCACTTAAAATCATATCAGACGATGCCAGTCATATGATGAGAGGATAAATTCCACTTATTGCTTCAATGAAAATTAATAAAACATTATATTGTGAAATTAATACATATGTAGATGCCTTGAGTAACATCCCAAAAGTTAGCATGATTTTTCAACATTTATTATGTTGCAATAGTTTTTGTATAGGTTATAATGAAATGGCTAAGTGCTACTCTATCCCATCCTAATGTTTACTTGGCCATCTTGCAGAGATGCTGGCTTTGCATATAAATCGGCTTGTTGGACTTTCCTTCGAGAATCACCAGGCTGTCAGCTCCAAATTCAATAAGTTTTCCAATGGCATCGCGATTCTCACCCTGAATCACCTTGAAGTGATCTCCCTTGCCTGGCGCCACTGGCTCCAAATGTCCACTCACCACGCTTACATTCCTGTCCTCCTCCGGCAGGAACACAGAGCATACCCCATTATTCACCGTGCGTACGATTCCAGTCTGCCCCACAAGGAGGACATCGTCATGTGTTCGGATCTTCACCTCAATGTCCGTGCTGCACCAGTCACCCAGATGAGAATCTAAACTGGCGCCCGGGGTTTGTGGATTATATGGTGACTGTGGTGCTCCACCTGGAGTCACTGGAGAATATGCAGAGGGCGACGGAGTCGCCATGTATCCCACTTGATAAGTGCTCGGGCTCGGACTTGAGCTTGGCTGGTACGGACTGTAGCTATTGTCCGAGCCATACATATTGCCGGGCGTGTGTGGGGCAAACGGTGTATTCATCTGGAAGCCAGGAGTGCTTGGATTATAGCCCGGACTCGGGCTTGCCTCCTCAATGCTGTAGTCAAAGTCATTACTACGTGCTGGAGTGTTAGTGACAGTGGGATCCCAAGCACCGTGCTTCGGCGTAGCACTTCCATCATGTGACGGCGTTTGAGAACCATACGGCGTGCGGCTGCCAATGTCATATTGTGGTGTCTGCGAGCCATGCAGAGGTGTCTTGGAGCCACTGTAGATAGGCGTCTGAGAGCCATAGCCAGGTGTTCGTCCAGGAGTACGAGTGAAGGCTGGCGATGCAGCAGCCGGTGCCCCAACAACAGCAATATGATTACGATCTACAGAGATCGTCTGACAAGAGGAATGAAGCTCCACACGAGCTGTAGATTCCGTGGCATCCTTGATAATGCCCACAGAACCTTTATATGGGCCTCCTGTGATCTTGATACTTTTCCCCAAGATTTCACGATCGCGAGTAATTCTTCCTCCACCACGTCCTCCTCTGCCACCACCACGTCCGCCCCCGCGTCCTCCAGACGGATGCATTGGTGATTGAATCCGTGGCGACATGAAGCCCATCATGCCCATGGTTCCCAATCCATTCGTGTGATTCTTATTACCACCCGCCAACTGCAAATGACGCGTCTTGCACACGAATATGCCACCATTCTCTGTGTACATGCGTGAGTGAAGGAAGGCAAGATTCCTATACAAGTGCTTAATCTCTCCATCACGCCCAGCATGTGGACCCTCCATCACCTTCACAATGTCCTTCCGATGAATATGCTGCTGCTCAGAGTCCAGAGCCATTGTGTTGCGATTCTCACGACGTTTCTGCAGCGCTTGCGGTTTGGCCTCAATCACCTTCCCGTGCATGCCAAGCACGTGAAAATTCTCACGCTCGAGACGCACGATCACGCCCACAGTTTGAGCACTGCAAACAAAAAAGCAATAATTAATATTCATAAATCACTGTTTGGTTCAATCCCAAAACTACTCACTCGAGCTGAACGAGATCACCCCACTGAAACTGTCCAAGAGAATCCACTCCAGTAGCCATATCGCTGCAAAGTTGCAAATCTCTGGGCAATACTTCCAGTTCATGCATCGTGAGATCAGATACAAGAACAACTCTAGATGGTTCAACACGCACAATCAATCCAGTTTCTCCCTCATATCGTCCTGCCAATACCTTGGCGTGATCTCCCGTCTTGAAGTACTTCCTCAACTCGTTGGCCTTAAAGATGAGAGGATCCTTGAGGTCCTCATGCTTGGGCATCACCGTAATCATGGCTCCATCAATGGCTATAATTTTGGCCTGAAGATTCTCCAAATCACCAACGCACACCTCAACATTGTCACCCATTGAGAAGCTGTGAGCGCTCGTAGGATCACTTTTAGATGATACGGCTAGCTCAATGTTGATCTCCTCAGGCGACTCCTCGAAGCGCTCCAGTTCCGCCAATGTGGGCTTAACACCTTCCACCAGCACGGCAGACATGGTGAAGCTCTTATACATGAATCCCTTGCGTGTGTAACGATTACCTTCGAAGATTAGAAAATCTCCATCTGAAGTCACTTCTCCACCAATCGCTCTGATGGCTTCTGGGTCAAAGGGTTTTGCCATTGGACGACGCTTCTTTTTGCGCTTTGCGTCATCTGCTTCTGTTTGGGTTGTTCTAAGGGCTCCACGCATTCTTGTGTAGTCAATCCTTGGCAAGAGTCTTAGATGAACAAGATTCTGGGCCAAATCATAATAATCAACTTGGGCAATATCATCCTTGTAGAGACCTCGCTTTAGTCGCACCCACTGATTCTGCTTCAGACCCACTTGTTCTTTTACAACCTTCAGCACATCCGTCATCTCTTTGATCGGCACCATCTCCTGCTTCCACTGACCCATCCGCAGATTGCCCACATTTGAGATAGCTGCCTTTACGTGTGTTTGCTTAAAGGCCTCAATGTAAATGTACCCCTTGACACCCTCTGGGGCCACTACAGACTTGATCTGTATAGGATCATCAGTATTCTGGTACGTGAGGAACTTTCTCATCAGCAACAACACCGTGGCCTTCTCTTCGCCAATGCGACACTTCACCATCCATAAATTTGGATCCTTAATGCCAGGCAAGAGGGTTTGCTGGGTAATCTCATCAGACATCTCTTCGCCACCATCACCAAAGTGTTTTCTCATGGCGGGCTCATCAGCGTACTTCTTCCTCAAATACTCCTCAATTTCGTCCTCCTTCTGTGAGTCCCATAGATTTGTGCCACGCCGTCTGATCTCAATATCTCTTGCCGTAAGACCAACTTCATCAATCTCATTGCCCACAATGCCTATCTCATGAGCGCCTTCTTCCCACTCATCATCCTCATCCACCTCATCATCCACTTCCGCCTCATCAATGATAAAGCCTCCGAAGCGCTCCTTCTTTCTTTTCTTCCGGTGCCGCGTTTCATCGTCCTCCTCTTCCTCATCATCATACTCAGAGTCCAAATCCTCGCCCTCAGGTTCTTGTTCATCTTCTACTTCCTCATCGTCGTGGCGATTTCTTCCTCGCTTCTTCTTCTTTTGACGCACATCTCCATCCGAGGCAGAAGCTGATCGTGATCGAGAGCGCGAAGCAGATCGCGACATTGAGTGAGACCGGGAGCGACTTTTAGACCGGGAGATTGAACGAGAGCCAGAGCGTGACCTGAAATCAATAGCATTTCTTCAGTACACTTTCGCCACGCACACATTTAGTTTATAGACTTACCGATTAGACTGCCGAGACCGATTGGATGCTGCGCTGTCCACATCCGACCCACTATCAGACATGTTGCTAGCTTCCGAGTCAGACATTCCTCAAGCAAGTTTCTGCACGAAAAGAGCCTCCGTAAGGTAATATTTGATAATGGCAGCTGTCAACAACTGACGCGTATCAAAGAAATTTTCAAATTCACTTTTCACACCAATATCACACAATTTCCTAAAAGATTTCTATCTTAATCTCTGCCACATTACCTCTTTCACCCTTTTCAGTTATCGATTGAATGTTCCCTGATGAAATTGAGCCAATAAATAGGAAAAATCGAGACCACTTCCAATGTTCACACCACTTGACAACAAATTTCACCACTTCCGAAAAAGACTATGCCGCGCCGAATTGACCCAAATCGTCCGAATCGACCGAATCATGTTGGCAGCCATTAATGACGAACTTCAGCTTGTTTTGGTTCACTTTCAGAAATTTTTCGGAAATTTCGTGGTGTAAAAGCAAAAGTGAAAAATGAATATTTTTGCGCTTAAAGACATCAAAACCGTGCCGGATATTGTTCACGAATACTCACCAGACTACAAGGGAACAAATATTCCTTTGGTGATTGACAATGGTAGGCAATTTGATTGAACTAATCGCATATTTACTTATGCCGGGAGTCTTTCTTGCAGGATCCTACCAATGTCGCGCCGGATGGGCTTCCGATGACCAGCCAACTCTCGTTTTTCGAAATCTGATAGCCAAGCCGCGAAAAGATCGGAATAAGAAAGACGGAGAAGTCCCGGTTGCACCAGTTGTGCAAATTGGAAATGATATTGTTAACATAGAAGCCCTTCGATTTCAACTAAGGACTCAATTTGATCGCAATGTCGTCACTCACTATCATATTCAGGAGCAGATCTTTGACTACATCTTCAAGCACCTGGGAATAGATACGGAAGGCCGTGTGGAGCACCCAATCGTGATGACGGAATGCTTTGTGAACCCAAACAGTTGCAGACAAAGTGAGTTAATGGAAAACTTTAGAAGATCTTCGCTGACTTTAGATTGTTTATCTGTTTTCAGTGATGTCTGAGCTATTATTTGAATGTTACGATGTACCATCGGTTTGCTACGGTGTGGACTCACTCTTCAGCTTGCGACAAAATCAACCTAACGTTGACTATGCGCTTGTTATCTCACTTGGGTATCACACCACGCACATCACCCCAGTAGCAAAGGGTCTGGTGCTGCCGGACAAGACGCGTCGAATCAATCTTGGGGGATTCAATATGCTGGCGTTCCTCCACCGACTACTGCAGCTCAAGTATCCAGTCCATGTAAATGCAATTACCCTGCGGAGAGCAGAGGAAATCCTGCATGAGCACTGTTTAATTGCCTGCGACTATTCTGAGACGCTGAGAAACTGGGCGAGTATGGAGTTTTATGAACCGAATGTGAGAAAGATCCAGTTGCCCTTTAACCAAACTGGAATCAGCGCATGGCTTCTCACTGCAGAACAGAGAATGGAAAAGAAACGAGATCTCGCTAGGCGCCTCACGGAATTAAATGCGAGACGAAGAGAGGAGCAGCAGGCTGAAGATGAGGAGTTGCTAACGCGACTTTTGGAGATTAAGGAGCTCTATCGCTTAGACAGAGAGGAATTCGACTATGCTTTGCTGGAGTTTCAGGTGAAAGGCATCCGGGAGCTACACAACATGATTCGAACCCTCACCTCGAAAGTCGAGAGAACAAAACAGAGAATGGCAGCCCAACAGGAGGCGCACGCTCAAGCCACAGCAGCTGAAGACAAAGTTCCACATCCTCCAGTGGGACTCACTGTCGAAGAATGGGTAAAACAAGTGAATCAGCAGAGACAAACTCTCCTAGATAAGCGTCAAGCCCGCCGACAGAGGCGTCAAGATTTGGCTAAACGGCACACAGCTGCTGCTCAAGAGCGCATGAGAATCATTTCTTTGCTGGCGAGAAAGGAGAAAGGCACTGACGACTTCGGAATGCGCGATGAGGATTGGGATATCTACAAGACTATAAGTCGCGAAGGTGGTGATTCGGACAGTGAAGTGGAGAATGAGAAGCTAGTGGAATATGAGGAAATATTGCGCCATCATGATCCCACATTTACCATCGAGGAACCCCAAAATTCCCACAGTGGCACCGCGGAGTATCATCAGGTAAAGTAATTTATTTCTATGATCAATCTTACTAATTTGTTACTCCCTAAGGCCCCTCAGCGTAAGTATTTCCTTCGTGCAGGATGGGCTTTCCGGAATGGAAGCGGTCGTGATCAGTGAATCTTAACGTGCGCGGAGGTATTATAGCACCCGCCACCACTCGACCCTCTGAGTTGAGAAAGTTAAATGTGGAGCAAGCCTGTTCGGTGTTCAAAACGTCCACGTTAATCCTCGAGGATCTCATGAAATTCATAATTTTTTTGGAAAATTGAGGGGTGATCTTTTCATCACCTACTCCAACCACAAGAATGTCTATCTTTGGCTCTAGAACGGTGAAGAGACTCAAACTCTCCTCGTTAATGTCCTCAAACGATCCGACATTCCAGGACAATGCAATCCGTGGAAAGATTGCCATGGGTCCAATGACATTCATTCTATTGTTTAGCCGAAAACCAATCTGCGAAATTAAACAGACTGTTGTTAATACTATTATTCTTTATCAGAAAATAAGTTGATTACTTGACTGAATGCATTAATCATTAGTCCTTCTGACACTTCTTTGTTCAGGATCTTGATAGTAGTCTTCCCATCACCTTCGTAAGAGTGTCCATTCCGGCTGCAAATTCTGCAATTATATGACTAATGACATATTCTGCGCATTATTGTGTCCTGAAGAATACTTACAATGCTCCTGAACACTGTTTAGATAATCTTGGGCCGAATGAGACGACCTTTTTCATTATTTCTCTCCCAAAAATGTTCATTTTCTTGTTACCCCTGACAAACTAACTATGAAGTGAGGTTACGTAAATTCCGGAAAGTGCAAACACATTAAACCCTTCTTGGTTATAATATATGTGATTCCATTGAGAGCCATCAAGAAAAGAAATAAATTTTGAATTTCCTTGCAGTTGCACCTCGGTGTTGAGATTCATCGTGCACCTGAGATACTCTTTCAGCCCAGCATGATCGGAAGCACTGAGGCTGGATTGGCGGAAACAATTGACTTTGTTCTGAAGCTGTTTCCAGCTGAAGAACAGCTACTTCTGGCCAACAATGTCTACGTCACGGGCAGTTGTGCTAAGTTTCCGGGCTTAGAAGAGCGACTTTCGCGAGAGTTGCTCGAAATGAGACCCTTCCAGACACCACATAAGATAACGATGGCCAGCAATCCCACCCTGGATGCTTGGTTGGGTGCGAGCAGCTTCGCCAGGCAGGATACATTCATGAAGATGAGCGTGTCGAAACGAGAATACGAGGAATTTGGCGGAGAGTATCTCAAGGAGCACGTGGCGAGTAACAAGTACTATCCCACACCAGCAGCTCCAGTCATAGAGATGAACGATTAGGGTTAATGATTTTTATTACCATCCTTATGATCTATCTTTATACAAGTTTTTTTTATTGTAAGTTTTCCTTCTCCCTTCGTTTCGAACAATGTTGCGTATAAAAGATGTGTGTTTTGTGTAAACATTTTTCGAACTGAGTAACTAATAAAAATTACAAGGGAGACGTTCATTCACTGAAACTAATTACAGAATCTTTCCACTCACAAAATATAGCGGATATGGCAGATTAATAACATTGTCCGTTTCTGTTCACGGTGATCGTATTTCAAGTCTCTACGTAGTCCGTACGTTCTATTTTTTATGATTATTTCTTGTGGATCTAGAGCTACTTCTCATCATTATCTATGCCACTGCTTCCCTACACATTTTTTTTTACACTAAGTTATTATCAAATAATCTCTTTATTTGCATTCTAAGTGGCCACTGTACATTCATGCTCAATATATATTCACTTTTTGAAATTGCAACAAATTTTCACAAATTCGCCTTTTCTATAATTTCGTGAATAGTTATCATATAAATAAAAGTTATGGCACAAATTTACTGTCTTGTATTCCAATTGAATTTTGCTGTTTCTCTTCTTCATGTTTTCACCTCTTCTCTTTTTTGTACAAGATTTTATAGTTTAAAAGGCATTTTCATGACTTTCCATCTTCACCCTTCCTCACATAAACATAAAACTTACAACGTCATTTATTTTCAACAAATGAACTTGCTGCCAATTTTATGCATCTCACAAACTTGATAAAAAAAAACTTGGAGAATAGCAAAAAATAAATTATATCAGTATAAAAAAATAATGGCACGTTATATTCTCACATCTAAAACGAAATGGATTGAATAATTGTATAAATTCTCTTAAAAAAAAACAATTTTGATTTTAAAAAAATAAAATAAAAATTTTGACTGGAGCGCATTGTTTTTTGTTTATCCTTAAGTTATCATTAAGAGATATTTTAGGGGGCTCATGTATATGATTTTATACAAAAATATCAGTTACAAGTTTTCAGTATACCTGTGAATCTTATGAGAGAATTTTGTTCTTTCACTTCTTTTCTCTTCTATTACTTTTTAAGCGACTTGCCTTCAATGCCTACAATTTTTCCTTACATTATTACAGTGATACATATGTATGTATGTATGTATAAATTTGGGAACTATCTAAATACAGTAGTTTGTCCTTTCTCATACATTAATTTTATAATTTTCTATTGTTCTCGTGGTAAGTGTGTTTTTTTTCTAGATTCTTCACGTTTCTTAGAACTCGCTAAATGTGACAAATATCAATTTACTTTATCTTGTGTCTAGGGATGCAAGAACGCTTTCTCCAAATTACAAATAAATTAGATTTGTTAGTGTACGAAATAAAAGTCTTTTTAAAAGTTTTGTTGTAAATTTCAATGATTGTCACAATGGAAGAAATATCACATCAAGATTTAGCGTGAGAAATTAAAAATAGAAGGAACATCATTTCTACTTAGCAACACAATCTTTAAAAAATTTCATATGCTAGCACTTTACAGGCTGTGGAATTAAAGGGGAAAAAATGGTTAAGAGAAAGTCGAACTCTTCAGCACATTTCTATGAGCATCCCAGAACATTATACTGTCAACTTTTCAAGTTACAGTGATCTAACAAGGGTTCTTTCCTCATCTAATTCTCTATATTACTTCTACTTCTGATCTCACTACTTTTTCTGTTGTAGAAAATATTACAAGTAAAATTGGGGGCAAATATGATCTTTATGGAGAGTCACACGCTGTTTTGCTGACGTAGTATCTGTTATTAGTGTAAACTCCTATAGTTTAGTCATTATGTTCCAGTTCTTTATCGATTTAGGATAGGTATACGGTTTCTAAAATAAAATTAAAAATCGATTGCAACGACTCGCTCTATCGCTGAGCATGTGGTGATCATGAATATGACATCAAATGAATAGGGTAGATTCTTTCTCGACTGTTTACGATGATCAGACAGGTCCTGGACTAGCAATAGTTCCGGGCATCACGTTCTTGTCAATACGCGTCGCGTCGTGTGCCATCACATGGCCAGACATACTAATGGGAGCGTGCATGTTGACTCTCTCCTGCATAGCACGCTCTTGCATAACTCTCTCTTGGATGGCCCGCTCCTGAAGTGCTCTCTCCTGCAGCACTCGACTCTGTATTGCTGCTCTTTCCTGCTGTATGCTATGATCCTGGAATTTAAATATGCATTTACTAAAACACTATTATACTTTGCATCGTCTTGATTGTATCTCGTTACCATTGGACCAGCTGATCCATTGCTGCTCCCATTGCTATGGCGATCATTCGGCGGCGCTCCATTCAACACCGTCATGGCACTGCTACGATCATTCATCATCACTCGATCGGCGGGAATACCAGGCGAAGACATTTGAGATACAGCTGGTGAGGCGTTCAGTTGCAATTCTGACACATACCTGAGCAATTAGACATTTAACCTTATTGGGCGACGGAAATGGGGACTAATCCCCACAAGATGTTTCCATCTTCCTTGCTTTCGCCACAAACGTTAGAGGACACTCACCTAAGATCACACACTTGAGAATTGTTCGAGTCAAAGTCCACATTCCCTGATGACTGACCATCGTCCACGTGACCCGCTGCTACACTATTTATTGTCGCAATACTATTTGCCGTGGTGCGATTCTCTCTGTGCACACGATTATGATGTCTGAAATGAGAAATAAAGATGAATATAAAATAAATATCAATCAAAGGTATAAGTAAGATTGTGTTTATTTACAAAAAAATAAACCCATTGAGAAAATATTTCATTGTCACAAATTCACTTTTAAATTAATTTATGTCCAAATTTTAGCACTATCCTATGTTTTTGTTTGAACAATTCTATATATATATATTTGCTGCACGACTACTCACCGAATTAGGTAACTATCCCTTATGAATGTTCTCCCACAGATATTGCACTCATAATTTTGTCCCGCTGAGTGAGTTCTAATATGTATGGCAAACTGGGCTTTGCTCGTAAATGTCATGGAGCACCGATCACAGCTCAAAGGTTTCTCAGAAACATGAGACCATCTGGAAGGCGAAAAAATGAACTCAGTATTATCTATCAGTTCATAACGGGAAATTAAACAAAAATTATCTTTACCTGTGTGCTGTTACATAGCTTTTTACGGCAAACGTCTTATTACATATATCACAAGCGTATGGACGTTCGCCTGAGAAGGAAAATGGGAAAAAAGTCAACTATCATTTGATCTTATGAAGAATCTTCAATTAAGAAAATCAATCAAATTTGTGTTAATAGTAATGAAAAACTTTTAGTCAAATTTACAATGTCTTATAGTAATGCAAAAAACGTGTTCCACTAGCCTTTCCAAATTAAATTCAGATGAAAAGTAAATTTTAGAAACAAAAAAAAAGGAATTGATACCGTAACTAACCAGTGTGAATCCTTTTATGAATATTTAGTGATGATTTCTGTGTGAATCGCTTGAGACATATGTCACAAAGAAATGGCTTCTCGCCCGTGTGAATTCTCACGTGAATGTCCAAATATGGTTTCCTACAGAACGCCGCCGGACATTCCTAAGAACAAAATGTATGTTTTGAACATCTTTCAGCAAGTATAGAATACTTCAAGAGCGTGTATTAACTTGAAACCTACCGTGCATTGAAAAGGTCGTCCTTGCACTACATTCCCGGACCGAAAAAATAAGAAGAGAACAAGAACCATTAAAAATAAAAATTAACCATACTGTTGTGCTTTAGGTATATAATTTGAGGCATAGCATGAATAATACTGCAGAATCATAAATTTTGTATGAAATATTGAAAAATAAATATATACATAAATAATAATTATGACGTTGACTTGTTTTAAGAATATTTTCTATGATTTTTTTCCTTAATCTTCCTATTATTTTTCAGCGTGATAAATGAATAAAATGCACATGGCTACGTGCATTTGTCTCTTTTGTGAAGAATGGCTAAAAACCGTTCCAATGCGCATTCTGCTATAAAAAAAACTTCCAATATTAATTGACATACAAAATTATAAAACAACTTGACCCACAAAATGAACAGAAAAAATTATGCAAGGCACAGTGGAACAGTCTCATATGTATATAAAAATATATAAAAAGAAACTCTTCGATTGAGGAGAAGTCCAATGGTATAGTAAATGTAAAGGTTATAACTAATTCTTATCATCCAAAATTACACCTTTCAAGCGTGAAGACATATCAAACAATATCCCAAAAGGAAGATAAGAACAAAGAAAGTATTCTTAGAAAATTAAAAGTAAATAAATTTCTAAATAGCACATACATAGCTGATAATAAATCTTAGGATAGATTAAAGAAGGTAGATGAGCAAATATAGAGTTATTGAACTGACCAGTGTGAATTGTCTTGTGGATGTTTAACGATGACTTTTGACTGAACCTCTTTAAACACACTTCACATTCAAATGGGCGCTCGCCCGTATGCGTGCGATAATGGATATCCAAATAGGGTTTCCGGGAAAATTTTGCCGGGCATTGTTGACACTCATATGGCTTTAGCTGGACTGCTCCGTCCAAAGGTGCCCACAAAAAGGATCCGAAAGAGAAATCAACATTTTAGAAAAGGTCATCTCAAGATGATTATAACATTACAAGAAATATACTATCAAAAATTAAAAATATGTAAATACTATTAAAGAAAATTAGCAATACTTGACAAAGTTCTACAATTATTATATATCTTTAACCCTAATCACAGAAAAATCTGCTAATGAAAACATATTCTGCCTTACGGCAAACTCTCCACAAATTTTCGCACAAATCTTTTTTTTTTTTATACAAAGAAAAAACTTTGGCAACACCAAATCTTAGACAATGCAAAAAAGAAAATCATATGTCGTTGTCAAACAGTACAAAAACAAAAATGGGAAAACAAAGAGAAAATATAAAAAAATGAGGAAACTAACCAGAATGTATACGTTTGTGAATGTTCAGTGTCGACTTCTGAGTGAACCTTTTAGAACAGATTTCGCATTGAAATGGTTTTTCACCCGTGTGGATTCGCATATGTATATCGAGATACGGCTTCCTGGTAAACGAGGACTGACATTCTCCACAGCTAAATGGCTTATTTATGCTCCAATACCCTGGAACAAGTAATAAACAGCGGCCATTAAAATACTGTAAGTGCCTATTTTTATTTCATTTGTTGTAATCATAAATTTTAAAGAAAATCGTTTTGAAAAAGAGAAAATAAGGCAGCCAAATAAAACAGATAGTAGAAAGAATATATATGTATGTATATAAAAAACACAATATTGAGATATCAATAATAATTGCAATGAAAATTGCTTTCTCACATTTTTGATCAAGCCAATTTTCAATGCATATTCTACCACAACTCTTTTCTTCAGAAAACTCAAAATTATAGCAAATTCGGTAAAATTCAATTTTCACATGCAATTTAATAATTTTTATTGATTTGTCAAAAGAATATTTATGTGGTTCTCATGAACGTATAATTTTGGCCGCTGTTTACAACACGATTGAATACGAAAAGAGCACATATGACTGTTCGGAGGTTCAAGAATAAGTTCATATGAATAACTATAGCAAAACCATAGAATGGTAAAATTAGGCAATATAAAATTAATCAAAAAACTTGCTAGTATATTTAAAATTCAAAATGACTCTGGTGTTTTAAGGAAAATTTCTACAACGGCTAGATAATCTGTAGAAACGTTAAAAAAGTCTCAAAATTTTACTTAGAGCTTCATTATAATTCAACTGGGTGACCTCCATTAAAAATTCATTTTAAAATTGATCAATAAAAAAATTATTAAATTTCTTAACTCTCATAAATATAGATATAGCATTAAGTAGCAAAAAATATGAAATTTATTTACTTGATTACATTCAATATTATTCACAAATGTAGAACATGGTTAATTTACTATCAGAATTACTAAAAAGAATTCAAATATCTGAATTTTTGCAATCAAATAAATAAATTTCATCGAAAATCTCAATACGTTTTAAGATGAATATAAGAAAAACTAAATGATAGAACAATAACAAAATTGACAACGCACCCGTATGAATTCGTGAGTGCAATGTGAGTGCACACTTTTGTGTAAAGGTTTTTCCGCAATGGCACCTGAATGGTCGCTCGCCTGAGTATACACACAATTATCATCATTATACAGAGAATTACTTGCAGAAAAAAAAATCATTATTCTCTCTATTAACTATCATAGAAAGTGTATAATTTCAAGATTTCTTTAAAGTGTGGCAAAAATAATCTAAAAAATTCACTTCAATATCATTTTCACTCTTGTTTAGACTATTACCAATCTCTTCATAACAAGAAGATAAATTTATGAACAAGAAAGTTCTTTGCTTTTCCACATAAAAACTGTGAAATTATAAGTGATATGTATACAACAAAAATTAAATTAGCTAAATAAAATGATAAATATAATTGACATTACAGAAAATATTTTTCCAGTCCACTGAACAGATAGATTTCTTTACACAAAGTATACAGGATCGAGCATATATTAAGTTACATAATATCACGCTCTCTAAAATGTACAAAAAAAAACCCCTGCGGACTTTGTATAGAATATTCATTAGGGAAAATTATTAGCGGCAGAGATAGAAATTCTTCTTTTACCAACATAAACCAAAAGGCAACTAAATAAATACAGAACATAAATTATCAAAGTGCGGCTGGGAAAAAATGAAACAAAATAGAATATAGGCAATATAGGAGTACTCTTTTAAAACTCTGAAGCCACAATTTTTCACGATATAATCTAATTCTATCATCGAAAGAATACATTGTATCCTCATAGTATATCACTAAATCCCTTTAATAAATCCACCTAATCAGTCAAATTTAGATTTCAATGTGCAAATTACAAAATCTTGCAGTAGACTCTCACCTGTGTGAATTCTTTTATGCGTGTTCAGTGACGATTTCTGGGAGAATCTTTTCATACATAGATCACACTGGAACGGTCTTTCGCCTGTATGCGTCCTCATATGCACCTCCAAGTAGGGCTTTCGACAGAACGCTGCCTCGCACACCTATAAACCAGACAGCACATGTTATAATTAAACCAACCACTGACAATCACTCTTCGTGTGGCGATTACAACAACATACCGTGCACTGAAAAGGTTTAGTCCCAGAATGCAGCTTCATGTGGACATAATAACTGCTAGCAGATGAAAGCATTTTACCACACACTTTGCACGCCTGTGGTTTGCTACGTGACGTGTGTGTTCCGGCGGATGCGTTAGACTGTCCGGACATTGCATGTGGCATCCCATGTGAGCTGGATTGCGACAATTCTGGCTTCGCAACGTCCGAAACATTAGACATTGGTGTATCTGGCGGCTGAGGCTGCAATGGTCAGAGAAAGACATATTAAATGGGACATTTCACAAGCAAATTGCAACATGCATATCACTCGCTTTATCATTCTTTCTCACCACAATTAATGATTGCGGTTGCATGGAATTATTATCTTTGTCATCCTGCATGGTGATTACGGTCTGCTCATTGCCCTGCTCCACAGATCGCGGTGGTAAAGGTTGGCCCATTTGCGGCGGTGGCGGACAAGTTGAGTAGAAACCCATCGGCTCAGCTTTGATCTGTTGCTCGAACATTGTTATGGTAGCCAACAGATCGCTGGTCGGGGGCACAGGCATACGCCCGACCCCCCAATGGGCGGGAAAACTAATTTTGAGGCTGTTTTCTTGCCCACTACCACAGAAAATCACTTAATCTCACACTCCCCTTTCTCCAAAATTATCTTCACATTTCAAACCACTTTCTCATCTATTTGCCAAAAATTATTATCGATTCTTCTTTGTGCCTCTTCAATGTCACTCGACTCCCTCACTCGGTGGTTTATGACCGCAGATGTTTTAAGTGACTGGAGTACCTGAAAGAGAGGAATTGTTGTTGAGAATTCGCATTTGAATCAGAGTTACATAACTATTAAATAAAAGATTAACTAAAATGCGATAATTTCCTTTTCTCTTCTTCAATTCGATTTGATCCTTTCATCTGAATAATGTGAACAAATAAATCATGCATTTTCAGGGGTTTCAAAGAGAAAACATAAATTCATCTCATCATATTACGTAGTAAAAAAAATGCAGCTGAACTTGAATCTGAAAAGATTCTGATATATGTGAACAATAATACTAAAGACGAAACATAAAGTCGTCTGGATAATCGTATTCCATCTTCTTACTTCCTATTCTACTGAACATACGCGCGTATATAGCAACAAAGCATATACGGTATAATGTGTATGAATGCTATATTGAATAATATTATGTGATGTTTGCTTACATTATATATAAATATTGTATTACATGCCAAGGTCGTCTGGCTGGGTTGTTAATGTACCGCTATATAGAGGCGCATATCATCATCATCAATATCGTCATCTGTTGGAGCACACCGTCAGAATATGTATGTACATTCCAATAGAGAACAAATGTGTCGACAGACACCGAGGTGCTCTCTTGTTCTTTCAGTGCGTCATCAAACAGCACCATCGAGACACAGCCCTATGCCCAACCCTGCGTACACTGCGCTCTCGCCCTTTTACCGAGCTCTAAAGCTTCACCCATACTTTTCCCCCGCTTCTGCTGTCACAGTGGCGCAACTCCACATTTTACCAAAATTTGCACAGTCAAGAAGAGAGGCATTCAAGTGGTTAATCGAGGGCGTCGCCTTCGAAAATGCCGCCACGGACAGACGCGCAAATGGAGGGACAATTTATAAGAAAATTATCCAAATTCGCACATTATTCTTTCTTTGATTAATACTTTTAAAGAGTCATGCATAGCTGTTACATCCTTCATTTCTTTTTTCTTATATTAAAAAAAAAACTTTCTACTATAAAGACCAAAGTTAAAAATTATATAATCTCACAAGAAGGTAAAGAGATAAATGATCTATAAACACTATTAGCCACTTAGGGATTCTTTGACTCAATCCCTCCAACCAAATCTCTCAAAAATTCATGCATACACACGAGTGTAAGGACTATGTGGGAGATGAACGAACGCTATATCAGTATACATATAGCAATACGTGTATTAACATCCACCATAGATAGAATGTGTACAAGCATCGGAATCATGTGTATCTCTTTCTCGCTTCTATTATAGGGAAATATATCGCTGCCTGGTTGCTGTACATACAATATGCATGTTATATATGTCGAGGCAATGAGAATAAGTGAAAGTATGTATATTATGCCGTCATCATGTTCACAATGCTGTATGTGGGACTTTAAGTCAAGGGGAAGGAGAGGTCTTTCCTCTTCATCTGTACAACTCAAACTTTCTTGAGTTGGTCATGACTGTTTCCCATTCTCCTTACGACATAGGTATATTTACATTTAATATGTCATTGATTCATTCTTCAACACACAATAAACATTTACATCCATCTATTATCCTAGTACTGAGCACACTACTTTGCTTCCATGAATATACCTATTAACATTTTAGACGAATGACTTTACAATACGTATTGATTGGGATTTTCTTCTAAAATATTTCTAAGTCAGAAATTTATCTATGATTACACATTTCATATGTAGATTACTTCGCAATACAGCCATGTAAGAAGTCTCCTCAGTGAAAATGACTATGGTGTCTGAACTTAATTACACTTTACCACATTTGATGACTTGACTCGAGGGGAAGAAAAAGAGAGAATTGAGTAAAAAGGAACAAGAAACTTCAAGAACTCGTTGATTGGATCTTCGTTCTTTTTTTATCTCTCTTCCTTCCACTTTTTCATCCACTGACTTGAGCCACAGCAGCAAATCCAGCTTCTCGCAAAATCTCTCAGAGGAATTTAAGATGAGTCATGAAAATCAACGGCATCAAAAAGAAAAAGCCTCCGGGGAGAAAAATAAAATACTCTCTCTACTGGTAAGAAATTGACATGAGAAACGAAGCCCTAAAGATCAGAAGGGAAGAAGAATAAGACTTGAAAAAGATCCCAGAGCTGCCAATTGTTAAGTTCTGGGAAGAAAGAAAAAAATGAAATAAGAAAGAAAATGCGGCGACAGAAAAACGGATCAGAGAATTTTATACAGAAGGAAATACCAGCAGCGATGACAACAGCAAAGTCAGAGGACGCTACAGTAACAGATCAATAAATTTCTCTTCTTCTTCCACACCTCTGCCCCGCCCCAACCTGCTCAGTACTTCTATTCCCACTTCTCTATCAAAATATATCCGCCAGCCAGAATCCACTTCACTCTGGCAATTTCGCTTCTTTCGATACTTCTTCCAACTCTTGGTCTCTTTCTTCGCTCATCAAAGGCAGGCCATCACATTCCAACCCCACATTTTTCACCGCCGCGTTTACCTCTGAGCTGAGATGTGTAGCGCAAATTAATATAAAAACCAGTTGGATGGATGGCATTTTTTGCGTGCACAAACCTGAAAACTAATATCACAAGAAGTCTCTTCCTTTTTTTCACCACCAAATGAGATTCATCTTCACACCACAAAGAATTTTTCATCGAGTTAATATTCCTTGGCTTTCTTTCGTCATCCCTTCCTTGAGTAGCGCATCACTAACACCCAAAGCTTTAATCAAAACTAATCAATAACCCCAACACACTCTGTACGAATAGGTCTCCTTTTCCGCGCACCCAATCATTCGCATCCCATACTCTCTTCGCCGTCTCAGATTGTTCTCACCTTAGGGGTCACTCGGAATGGAGGAGTTTCTTTAAGAAGATGTCTCACGAGAGTGTACCTCATACAAAATAAATTGCAAGTCAGAGACATTATACAGTAAATTTCACTTTCACCAATTCCACGAGAGAGCATCCAACAACGAAAAGACTATCCCAATGTCTGACTGATGATAAAACACATGTTTTCAAGCACACCGACATTTTCTCTCTCTCGCTCTCTTTGTATATATAAATATCACCCACTATACATTACACATGTTTATCTACGTACATGAGACGGTAGCATAAGTTTATGTAGAACGCGACGCGCACAGATCGTCCTTTTATCGTGTCCTATCCTCTTCTTCTGACAACCCCATTGCAATCATATCTTCATTTCAGACTAAACACAGAGGGACCTTAACACAAAATATATAAATACACCTCTCATACTGTATTTAAGCGTTGGATCTCACATGAAAAACATATATGTAAGTATATACGCATAACTATATCCTTCGTCACATGTAGACAAGCTCTCCTCCACATGAATGGGGAATAAAATGTAAATAACCATAAACATATGTAATGATACAACTTTTATGCTTTCCTGTATATACCACACAATATGCTTGCACTGTGAAAGAATCTCTTCCTATTTAGAAACAGTAGTCTGACATGAATGGAGATGGGTGCAGGAAAAAACTGGGGTACCACCGATATCTTAAAGAAACAACTCGTGTGCTTGTGCTTATATTTTTAACTACCTCTCTCTCTCTCTCTCCTTCTCTCTTGCTCTCCTTTAGTTCCGTTTTCACAATCAACTTTTTTCTTTATATAAAAAAATAATCCTTTAATATATCCCACTCTAGAATGATTGGAATTCCAAAAAGACGAGAATCTCTATAGAATTCCTCACTACACCTTAGGTATGATGTGTGTATAAATATGGCGGTGTTTCGTGCACAAGTGAAAGAAAAGCTCACAATCCACCACCAACCAAGTATAGGGGCTGCTCTGCCACTGACTTCCACAGTCATCATCAACTATGTGATGCTACTTCGGGTGTGAATGCTTCGGGAGCGAAGGAGAGAAAGATAGAACGCACACTTCCTTTAGACGATGTCTTTCGCTCCTGGCCGCCCAATGACGATGATGCTCCCAATGATGGGTGGACGACAATCGCGTTACTTTAGTCCTGTCTCAATTCTTACCAAAAATATGCGCTTACAGAGACACACATTTTCTCAATTCCAATGCCATTACAAATCGGAACAACTCAAAAAACTTTTAATTAGCACACCTTTTTTACAATTCTTTTATGAAACTTAGATTAAACCACATTAATCTATAGTACAATGTTGTAGAGTTTATTAATATATTGTTGGAAATTCTTAGAAAATAAAACACATTCTAGATAGAGTTTTAACAAAGTTACAAATGTGTAAAGACAAAACAACGGTGGAAAAGTGGAAAAACGGAAATATATTCAAGGATTTCCAACTTGACCTCAAGTGCCATCTTGATAGGATGCCATAGGCACGATTGAGGAGATAAAAAGCCCATTAAAACCCCTCTCACACTTGTAATGAACTCTATAGAAATCAATGTGGCAGGAAATTTGCATTGAGCACGAAAGGCAAGAGAATATTGCAGGAAATTATGCACACGATTTTCAATTCACCAACAATTTTAAGCGAACAAGGAAAGCAATCAGAGATTTTTGCTCACAACTTTCAGCAATTTTCTCCCTATTTCGCAAAAAGCCTATCCCTCGCTCCCACTGCCTTCAGGCACCACCAGAACCATTTTCTTCGGCGTATTGGTTGTGAGTTTGTGTGCGGGAAAATGGGAAAAGGGACGAATTGCCACCTTCCGGTCTTCCACATCCCAAAGTGACGAACACCAATTGAAGCACTCTTCTTCCTACCATTTTCTCGCACACACGCAGGAGAGACAACCACCAGCGCAAGAAGACATTTCCATTCACTGGCTGTCCAGACACATGGGCAAAAAAGAGAGAAAACTAGAGTCTAGCCGAAGGGAATTTTCACCATGAACCCCACTTTTGCAAACCTCAATGGGCCATGGGGGAGGTGAGGCGAAGTGACACTCGAGAGATTTCGAGAAATTGGATGAATCTCTGCGTCGATCACGTTTAACATTTACGCACCCGTCGTCACCTCGTATCCCCCTGCCAACAACACAGCAATGAAAAAGCCGTGATGCTCCATGGACCAGGGGAAAACCTAAGGAAATCCGTACACACAACGAGTCACGAAAATGTCACAAGAGGGAATATTTTTGAATTGACGGTTCACGTAATTGCTTTTTTCGTCGTTCCTGTGAAAATTCTCTATTATTCATCCACATCGAGTGTCGGTGAAGGAATTGCGTAATTAAAAATGAAACAGAGGATAGGCCATTGTAGAGGACATGAACTTCTTATTCATTAATTTTTGAGCAGAAAGGAAAAGCTTTTCCTCAATATTTTCGCCTCTGACACTTTTTCTTCCTGACCCTAGAGACGGAGGAGAGAAGACAGGAAAATATCCTGACTCCATTTCCTTTTCTACCCATAACCCACCCCTCATCACACATTCATTTCATTTCTTTATCGCTCCATCGCACTGCCACCCATAAATCTCTGACCAGCTTCGTCCCACCGCACGGCTTAAGCACCGCCGCCACCCCGTGAGTTGGGTGGAAAAATTCAAACGTCCAAAAAGCAATTCTTGCTAAAACAAAAGAGTTTTACGGGGGCAATGTTATGGATTAATGGCTAGGGCATGCGCGTCTAGCAATGCTTTTGCAGAGCAATAGCGAGAATGAGAAAGAGCGATGAGGAAATCTTCCTCACACACACACACATACACACACACACACACGAACATAGTCTCGAGCGAGAAACTTTTCCAGAAAGGGACTGGTAGTCAAAGACAACTACCTCACCCATTTCTCTTCATTTCCCGCTCCATCGACCATCCCTGAGTGGATTTCCCACAGAACTCAAGTGGACAATTTATATGGATTTCATATTGGGTCGTTGAACAAATTCCAACAGTTTTCTTCCCTCAAAGATGCAAACAAAAAATTCTTTCTATGACTTTTTACAATTTCTGGTTTTCGAATAAACAAAAAAATGCAAAAAGAACAATGAAACTACCTTACTAGAAATAAAAAAAATTAGAGAGTTCTTTGCACTAACCCACAATATTTCATTTCAAATAATGTTTTATTTCAATACAAACTCTACAGATACCTACATAATAATTGAAAGACTTGATAAGTTGCAAAGAATGTCATCAATCAACTTTTAAAAAATGAATTAAATACTTCGAAACAGGTTGAAGCCAGTCAATGGTGGTGATTATTATTAAATTTTCGAACATTTTCACACCCACTCTGTTGTGTCTCTCTAGAGATCATTGACCACCCAGTTTGGCCACATATTTCATCACCACAAGTCCACACTCTACCTTTACCCACGCACTCAATCGCACCAACAATTATAGCATAATTTTACAACCATACAAATACACAAGGATAGTATTGGAGAAGCTTTTTCCTATACATAAGAGACAGTTAAAAATACGTCATGTCCGATACTGTTTTCTCAATGAAATGACTGAAAGTCAAATAAGTATACACAACAGATTCTATACTTGATGTAAACAAAAGTTCATGTAGCGTCTGTTATACGTATGAACTGATATTACGTTTTGCCTCTGCTTGTACATATTTTATATGTCGGTTGATGCCGAACACATAGTATATGTAGCAGAAAGAGATTGTAGGTATGTAGATTTCCCCCGAAACATGTGAATGAATCTGTTTTCTTCCTCTCTCTGTCTCACTCAGAACCGTGTTCAAAATCCTTTTTCGTGAAGTGCCCCATCTCCTGAGGTCACATGTGAGAATTTATCGATGCGACTCTGCCTTTGAGTGGATTATTTTTAGATTAACCGTGGCTCTCATCGAATCTATACATACACTCTCACTTGAGAGATATAAAAAAAAATCCCGATGAATGTTGTGAATTTGAAGACACAGCACTTAATTGAACCATTAAAATTCACATTGGACACCGCACAGAGGATGAACTCAAGGATACCACGCACAGAGTCAACTGCAAAGGAAATCTCGTTTGATTACCCCGGGCCATAAACTAACACTAAAAATCCTCACACAATTTTCCTGCCTATCAGGCAGAGGAAATAGACTCACTGATGCTAACTCGTAAATTGAAAATCTCCACACATTCACTATTTTCCCATCTCGAGCTAACCTTTTGAGTGAACTTCGACAAATCGACCTATCACTCAAGGGGTTCATGTGTTTAGAAAAATTCACGATTGATGCAAAGTATAGCAATGCTGAGGATAAACGGTAATATTATAGAGTAAAATCATCTTCCTGGTACGAAAATGTCAGTTCTCTATTAGAAAGATCGCAAAGTAAATGTGGTAAATGTATTTGATATTGAATGTGATAAAATAGCAATTTTCAAAAGTTATCAAAGACTTCCTATATGATAAACATACTTTAGCCAAATACTCATCCAATACCTTACTCAAATTTTTATGAATTCAGAAAACTGCATTTAATCCACGTAAATGGAAAATTGTTGAAAAATTATGTATGACAATTCATAGAACTTTAAGCATTTCATTCTCGACGTCGGTATTTTGCAATGTCACCACTCAAGCTTCAGTGAAAATGATTATATAAATGTTATAAACTCAGAATATTCAGCAGCCGCAAGGGAGAGAGTGTTCTTGGAATGCTGGGCATTTCGAGAGCATGCATAGAATTTGTGAAATACTTCAGCTTAATTGTCAATCAAATTCCCATGCAATTAATCATTAAGTGGCACAAAATTGACCCACATGGTGGTAAATTTATTTCTCTATTAATATAATTATTATAAAGAAAAAGCATCCTTTGTCATGTATGTATCTATATTGATGAACCCCTTATGCTGTTATATGTATGCCTGTCTGTCGACCTCCCTGAGAGTGGAGATTGATTTTTAATCACGAGCCTTATTCTTCAGGCGTGTATTGTTTTTTCAGTCTATCTCACCAACACTCCATTGGAGCTGATATTGATGGGGAGCATTCTATGATTGAGTTACGGTGAGGGATTTCCGTCCTGTGAACTTTTTCCCTCTGTGGATTTATTTTCAATTGGGATCAACGGTTTTTGGTCCACATCCAGCAGCTACATTTATTTGGCAACTGCGGCTCCCTGCTGCCACACAGGGTGGCAAAAGGGACGCGCGTGTGGTCAGGAAGGGCAGGGTGGGTGGTGAAGTGACACCATCCTGACTGGCGGATGTTGAATTACGGGAAGCGCAAGGCATTTCCCATCGCGCTCCAAATCGATTTTCTCCCAAGAATCTGCATAAAACCATGGGTAGGAGCGTCATCTGCCGAAATAACAAGCACTCACTCCTCAACCCCAATCTCTCTCTCTCTCCATCACTTCTCTTCTCCCTCAATCTTCTTCTCTGTCTTTCGCAATTTCTCACACCATGTCACGACTTTGTCCTCATCGTCTTATGCCTCCTCCTCACCCGCCTGATATACCTCCCATTTCGTGCTGGGCGCAGAAAAAAGAGGCGACGAAGAAATTTCTTCCAGTCTAATCAGAAATTCTAATGGGTTCTACGTGAAGAGGCAGAACGCCGTGACAAAGAAAATTGAGAATTGTGAGGATGGCATCAAGACGATTTAAATCCCACGACCCGCAGGCCCCTCGGTGTAAATTTTTAATTGAATTCCCTAACCCTCGGGCGCTCTCCTTCCGTCTCGGGACTCGTCAGCCAACCCACCGCTCCCGGGAAGGAGGGCACTCTCTCATTCCTCTCAACCTGTGAAAATCAATATCAATCTCTCGCCGTCTCTGTCCTACCCAACGCCCAGCGTAACTTGCCCGCCAGTAATTAAGTCATTTCAACTCTTTTCCGCCACCCTCGAGATATGGGATGCCCTTCGCCCGACCGAAGGGCTCCATCGCTCCTCACAGAAAATACTCAGCCTTCGCCAACCCTCCCGCAATTAATCCAGGCACCGCTCAGAGCGAGCAAGAGCGGGCAAATTAGAGAAATTAATTAAAGCATTCTTGTGCTCGTCTCAAGATGCAGAATCGATTTATCTCCATTTCTGCCACTCGGTCGCATCGCCACGGTGGACCCCTCTGCCTAGTCAGTTGCCGTCTCAACCTATACACGCACATGCATTTTTTGCAAGAGCCAATTTTGAATTAAAAAAAATCTGCCAATTGTCTCGGCTTTGCACTTTTATCCGGGAAGAAGAATCAATGAGGTTACACCACGCCAATAGACCCCATTTTCACCACCCTCTGTCCATCGTGTTCACTCCAAATACTTTCAATCTAGAGCACCAAGAACTGAAAGTCTAATATAATGCGAAATCCGTCTGGATAATGCAAAATACACGACATAAATAGAGACTTTGTGCGGTGGGTGAGGAGAGCCAAATGGAAGCGAAATCGGCTTGGTAGAAAAACAAGAGCATATTTTCAAGCACAGAATATACTTACAAACAACACACGTGACACTATGCAATTAATGCGCACATATGCTATTATTAATACACTACGGAACTAATCACAAATTATCACAAAAATATACATATAACTAGCGTTTTTTCCCATTTCTTGCACACTCGCAGCTCGTCGCCGAAACAGAATGTCAAAGATGGCTGCATTTCTTCTACGTTTCCGCATTTCATTCGTGTTTCACCACTCACCGTTTCATTTGCGTTGCACACCTAAGCGATTCGAACTGCCATCTACAAGGCGAATGATGTACAAAAAAAAGCGGGATTTTACTTAGTTCGGAAACGAAAACACAACACACATTTTTTTGTATGGACTATTACTTCTTTATTATTCTAATTTCTTATATTGTACAGTATAATATTAATGTAGAAATTGTAATATACTCACTGCTACCTCATAGCCAGACAATTTTTATCATCCTCTTATAGTCCATCTGAGACCCACTGAGCTATAGAAACAAAGCTCGCGAGTTTCTTTCATCCCAAACTATTTTCTTCCTTTTCTACAAACTAGATACTACATATTCCATTCTCCTGACACAATGTTAATGAATGAATATTTAGGACTTGACTTTAAATTATTGGAATAATTTGTATGTAGTATGTTTCAGAAATGTTGTGATGTATAAGATTTAATATCAATTTGGTCGCATTGGATTTACTGTCTTATAAAATATCATTGCGCAAAACACTTGTTGAACTGCTTACATTTCCCTCTACGAGATTTTATACCGTCACTTGTTGAAGAATTCATTAGAAATTCCTTTGGTTATTTAAGTACAGTAATTTGTTTTATAATAATTCAAATAAAATAACCACAACATTGAACAATGTGATTCTGAATCAACGAAAAACTCTATAAATTAGTTCCTTTCATATATTTTCTTCTTCCTCACATACTTCTGAATTTCTTCTGTTCGGCTATCAAAAACAAACAAATTAATATAATGCACTTACGTGCATGATAAGAAAATGTAAGAGTAACTAATTTAAATACTTGCAGTTGCTATACATTTGAACAAATATTGTGCAAGAATATTGTCTTCCTTTCTTTTTTTTCCGTCAGTAACACAGAGAAAAGAATTCTTATAAACGGATTAATTTTTGTGATTTCAATAGAATACATAATCAAAAGTATAAGTATTAAAGGAATATTTACAAGTAACACATTAAACTGTATTATCACAGAATATTTACCCTTTACTACAGCCAAACAGAACTCATTATTTCTCTTTCATTTCCCAAAAAGTAATTTAGTAAAGAATAAACATTTGTTCAAAACACAAAACCCCCTTATGGGTATTGACAGTTCGTGGATGATAAATCTACCTACAGTTTGGACAATTGGACACAGGAGATAAACGTTAATTCATATTCATCCTCCTTATCATTTCTACTTGATGACTCGTGAAACGGATTCAATACCAGAATCTTCATCGGTACTGTCGCTAATTCTTGTCGATCGCTCATGATTCAGTTTCTGGATTCTCCTCTCCACTTCATTGACAAGATCCTCGCGATCAATGGTGATCTCAACCTCAGATGGATTACATCCATCCCCACTACCATCTCGACTGCTTGTCAGTGAGTCTTCAAAACTCTCCGACTGGTTTGTCTTGCCAAAAGTGTTAAAACTCACTGCTCGATCTGATCCGGAACTCGAGCTCAAGGAATCCATGGAGCCTGTGCATGAGGGTGTTGGTAGGATAAAGTTATCAGCTTCTTCCACCTTTGGCTCCACACTTTCGGCATGCTTCTCCACCTTCTCTTCCTCTTCACCCACACTTGACATATTCACAGTTGACAGTGGAAGTCGCAAGAGTGACTTCTGATGGCATAAATCACCCAGAGATGTTGACTCACGCAATTCGCTCTGTAATATAAGGTAATACCATAAATTCCTTGTATGGGCAATTACCATAAAGATGCTGAAACTCACAGAAATAACATCGCTATCTTTAAGTTCAGTCGCATGATCACACCCCCTCAGATTCTCCTCCTGTCGCGACAAGTCACTGAGACTTTTTGGCCAATCCACGGGCATTGATGAATAATTGGAATACTTGACATCTTCGTCCTCGCCATCCTGTGAATTCAATCAATGTCATTTATTTACACACAACACAACACACTCAACAGAAATACCTGCAATTGTGACCATGAGAAGTCTGAATCACTCGGCCAGGTATTACACTGAGCCTGAAACTGGCTGTTGTGGAAGGGGCGAGTTGAACTTGACACCATAAATCCATCTAAATCTAAAAAAAAGACATTTTTAGAGATCATTTTGCATTTCTTGTTAAACTTTTTTTGTGTTAGGGAACATGAAAATTTTAATTCAATTTTATATCAAGAATTACATTATTATCATATCAAAATGTCAATATTAATGTGGATTGACTGGATGAAAATTGATTTAATATCTCCAAGCAGAATCTGTGAACGACATTTGCAAATACCCCGTATACAGACTGAAATCAATTAATTGCAAGGCTTGGAAATCTCACCGATTGCTTCTGCATTGAACTTTGTTGATTGAAAATCTTCTCGATGATGATTCCAAACTTTTGGCTCGCTGTATGCTGGTGATAATGGCACGACTTCACGAGGGTACTCGTAGACTGAGTGGTACATCTGCACTTTGAATATCACATTCCTTTGATTCTTCCCCTGTAAGAGAAAATTCCAATACGCGAAATATAGTATCAAATAATATCGCATAATTCAATATAGAGAAAAATTAAACGAGATTAAATACATTAATCGAGTAAAAATAGGCGAAACTTTTTTTTTTAAACCTTAATCATAGTAATCTCTCTGATTTTGGTACGAATATATCTTAAGAAATACATATAGCGAGAGAAAGAGTGTAGAAATGCTTAGGAAAAGTCATTTTACTTTATTCAATTAATACTTACACCGAATGAATCATCTTCCTGTAGTTGATATTATCATCATCATCATCAATGCAATAATTGTTAAAAAAAAGTATTTGGAATCAATAGGAAGAAAATTAATGTGAGTAGGAAGAAGAATAAATAGAAAAAAAATAGTTACATGCAACCACAAACCAATTTGTGAATTCTTTTTCAATACAAAACTCCTCTTTTCTCTTTATCTTTTGCGACCAATATCAAAAATTGTTTTCAACATTTTAAATTTATTGTGATGGAAATTGCTTTTCGTTCATTCAATAGGAAAATAAACAACTGCTGTGTATAGCAAGTCAACAAATGGTTCTATTTGTATCTTATTATACTCACACTGCTCGATTTGTCGGGGCTTTTCATTGCTGATCGTACAGGAAGAGCCATTGAGTCCCAACAAGAGGGAATGAATTCACCTTCAACATCCGATGAACAATCTTCAGAGTTCATTGGTGGTGAATCGGGATTATCTAGAAGAATAAATAAACATTCATATGACTTAAAAAAATCAATTTATACATTTCTAATAGGTTTATAATTCACTTAGGTATATGGGATCAAATTCATGGAAATAATCATCCAATTTGTATCAATACATATATGAATTTACCTGAACTTCTGTGCACAGGTACTTTATCTTTGTGTGACGTCCAAATATCAGATTCGCAAGGTCCATTGAGAGATGACTGCTCCTTTTCTACCTCTTTCTCGTACATCTTCTCTGTTTCTGCTGCACTGAGACCCTTCAGATACATAAACTCTTCGCTGCTGTCATCCTCATCAACATTACCCTCGCTGTCCCACTCGTCCCCATTAAAAGAGGTAGACATCATCTCGCATGCTGGTACAGTATATCGAATGTCTGTGAGTGCATTCTGACTCATCACAGGTGAGGACCACGGGTCTTCCTCACCAGACAGGCACTGACCTTCTGAAATTATCACTCCGCTCTCCTCACCGAGTCCATCGTAGTCAGCAATTTCGTAGATATTGTAGTTAGAAATCGGATGGTGTTTGTTATAGATTATTGGCGCCGACTCACTCCAGAACTTCTTAGTCAAATCTTTCACCAATACATCCGCTGCGAGAGTTACATGATTGGCATCAATTTTAGTTTCACTGGCCGTTGGTGGCGGAGACTTTTGATTACCCTCATAGCGCGCTATGGATTTCACATTGGTATCTTTGGCCTGAAATATCTCAGAATTGTGCGAAGGAGCATTTCCTTTATCTTCACTCTCATCACCCCCATTCACCTCTTTCTTCACTGGAGACGCTTCTGAGGATTCTTCATCCTCCTTCACAGTGTCATTGTCACTTTCAGTTTCTGACAATGGCCTCCTCTCACCATTCACCGAAACAATATCCAAAACATTGTCAATCTCCTCAGCCACAATGTCATCAACATCCAACAAACTATTTCTATCCACCTCTTGACCATCTTTCTCCACCACATCTGTCGACGTCAGATCGGAATTCCAGTCGGGTTCAGATATCTCGGAAATTCTCTCGTCGTCCTCAACAAAGGTGGTACTCACAATACCAGCCACAGAGATGCAAGTTTCCCCCTCAATTGTATTTGTTGTGTAGGTGCCATCTGGATCCTGATCTGATGACATGTGGTCTTCCGAGAATGTTTTTGCCGCCTCTGGTGAACACAAGTCATTTACTTCAATCATCTTAGTAAGATTAAGTTCCAAGTTTACACCTTTCTTCTCCGACGACTTCTCTGCTGGAGATATCATATCCACTGGGAAATTCCTCTTCTCCACCAGTGGAGAAAATTGATCATCTCTATCGCCCAAAGTATCCTCAAAATTAAACAAAGTGTCATTTGATGCCATGAGAGTCTTGGTGACACCCATAATCGCTTCTCCAGTCTCCATGCATCCTGTACTCGTGCTATCCTGATACTTCGCCTCATTCATTATAAATGTCTTGCACGTGGTCTCATCTTCACTCTCCTCAGCGATTGGCGACAGTGGTCGAGTTGGCCGACGTTGATAATTGATGATAATTTCCTTGGTAGACTGTGTATTTGACGCCCCCTCAATGGCTAAATCTGGAAACACTTCTGGGCTGTCTTGAAAATTCTCCTCCTCGTCCGAAAAATTGATGGGATTCACTATTCCTTGGGCATATGGGAGAACTTGTTCAAGTTGACGCCGTAGTGCATCAAATGTCACATCGAGATTTTTCGCATTTTCCTCTTCATCGTCATCATCCTCATATTCTCCTGGGAGTACCTCAAATGTCTCATTTCCGGTGGTTTTCTTGAATGTCTCATCACCTCTCGGTATTTCACTCTCATCCGCAGTCTTTTCATCCTTCTGAGGGTGCAAAAACCACCCAGAGTGACCTGCTTTCGACGTCGATGGTTGTGAATACCAGCTATCCACTGTGTAAGCCGAATTAATTTCTATGGGCGTATTCATTGGCGTAATTGTCGTGAGATCCACCGATATAATATCATCCTTCTCCTTTTCAATCACTATCGTGGGACCATTTGCTTCACTCTCGTATGTAAATGTTCCATCCGACGGCTTGACAAATGTTGCCTCCGGATTTATTTCTGGACTGGAAATTTCACCATCAAGCAGCACATCGAGTCGTACTCGCCGATTAACTACTGAATCGATATGAGTCACTTTGTTAGCGACATTCGGTGTACTATGGAAGAGTTTATTGCTCTGAATATCCGTGAAGAATGTTTCCTCGAGGGAGTTCGACGATTTCTCTAATAAATCGAACGTCTCTTGCATTTTCATATTGATGATTTTTTCACTCTCATCTAACACTGTATCGACTAGTTTTGTCGCTACTGCCTCAATCTCATCAATATCAGCATGGTACTTGCATTCGCCATTTCTCTCCACATTCTCCACCATAAGATTCTTCAACACATCTTCATATGTGGCCTCCATGCTATCTTCCTCCTCCTCGTCATTCGCATCGCAGGTATCTTCATCTGCAATAGCATTCTGCAGTGCCATGAGTGCCTCCTCAATTTCACTATTCCCAGATGCAACACTCTCCACACTGTCAATTGACTTTGCATCGCACTCCTCAATATCATCTATGGACGCCTTCGTATCATCCACATCACTAAACTCCGTCCTCAGGTCGAGATTCTCCAAAAACGATTGACTCTTTGTACTTATAACTGGCAACATTGAATCACTATCGAACTGTGTATTTGGCACACCAGACACCTCCTCAATATCAAGTACAACACACGATTCATGTACTATGGCATCTTCATGGGTTGGGGCTGTAAAAGACATTAAAAACACCTCCATCACATCTCCACTCACAATTGTCATCATAGCAATCTTTTTGTCCATATCCAAACCCAACATACCTGAGTTAACAATATTCCGATAAATGGCATTAATAGATGGCTCAACAAGCACACCAATCTCATTTCGATTGGCTATGTAATCTCCGGCGTTGTTGTTCTCAATATTCTCCATGTCAGCCGGCGATATAGGGCCATTGTTGTTGTCAAAGACTTGATTAATTGGTGCTGAATAAATATGATTCGTCTGCACTTCATTCACATTCACAATCAGTGGTGGAGGTGACTGTGAACCATTGGTGGTGCAAATGTTGGTTGATTGTACAGTATCAACATGATTTGCTGTCGGTCTCGCCTCCTCCTGATCACCACGATTTGGTGAGAGTGCTCCAAAAATTGGATACTCTGTGCGTGCAGTTTCAATACTTCCCGGTGCTTCATTTTTGAATTCCTGCATTGAGATGTGGAAAAAGAGACTGTATCAATTTTTACACCACAATTCCACACAGAGGTCAATTGAACTCAATTTATCATGACTCTTTTTATCATGTGGAAAATTGGTTATTTGATCTCAGTTCAGACTGGAAAGAAACTACTGCAAGATTCATTTTAAAACATTCATTCCGAAAGGTAAAGAGTAAAGTGTGTTCACTATTATCAATTCTGCACACAATGATAATATAATTAATTATAATCATACTGATCATACTACAATTTACAGTCTTATTAAACATAAACCTTACTGAATTGAAGGTCGGTCATTGCTTTAGACTTAAAAAGCTCGTACATGATCGAAAATTTACAATGATATAATCCTCAATCACAAAATATTTTAAATTCTGACCATGTAGCAATTAACCTTCAATTACAGAATTATCTAAACTCTAAGCACCAACACTATTTCAGGAAGTTACTCAAAATACAATAATTGTTGCATTTAATTTAAGATGATATGCTTCAGTAACTGTGTTGTTAGTTTTCATTAAATGGAGAGATTACTACATTCATATGTTTGTGAAATATGAAATACAAACTAATCAACCAAATAAATGACTCAGTTTCTAATGCGAAAACATTTTTCAACAACCGTACAAAAGAAACATCAACACGATATTTTACGCGGTAAAAAAATTGAAAAATAAAGTCTATTCAAAGAGCATTTTTCAGAGCGCAGAGGTAATCATTTAAAAGAGAAAGAGAGTGTTAGAAAAAATCCAAGGTGAACAATTCAGCCAAAGGCGCTTTTTTTGCAAATCTTAACTGCTCTTTCAAAGACCGAGCAAAATACAGCATATTCAGTGAGTGGCAAGAAGAGGCTGATTCGGTTATCTAGATCCAACAACAAATATAGTATTCTTACAAATCTGAAATATGACCCTAAATTTAGACAGCGTCACTCAGCTGTTGTGTGAAGGAATGAAAAAAATTCAACTCTGTATTGAACAAATAAAAAGACGAGCTCTCAACATTTAAAATAATACCAAATAATTGTCACATAAAACCCATATAAAACTAAAAAATTCTTCTGTTGGTCATTGTCATTGAATAACCTAGGCCAGACGTCTTTAACGAGGAGTGACTCAGTCAAATTTTACTTTCATGTTAATTAACATAATGTGAATATTTTCACACAAATGCTTTTGTGCACTGTAGAATGAATATGAAATGATCACGAAAGGATTTTTGCGTCATATTTCCTGTTGCTTCATTTCTTTTGCCCACTCTCTTCTACACTTGATAAGCTCCTCCCCTAATCTACATTGTCAATCGGAATGGACAAAAAAAGAAATGTCTTGGAGGAATGCTAATTCCTTGTCTCTCCCTCCGCTTAGCGCACATGCAAAAATGTTCGTGGGCGATTTGACAAAATATACATATATGTAATGTATAAAAAATTTATACACATCTAACCAATTGAGGAAAAACCTCTCTTCCATATGGGTGACATTTTATTTCTACATTGCCTACATTCAATTAAATTAGCAATACAAAATGAGTGTGATAAATTTTCTCCTCTCGTTTCATGTCTCTCCAAACCTATATATAATATTCTCCCATTCTCACTCTCCGCACATTCTAGGAGATACACAGCCAGTTAGCTGTTATGTCTTTTGATAGAATATATACTACATTTCTAGACTATTGTGTTATCGATTTTTCTGCGTTCTCACACAGTTTAGCACTATTCTTTCTTCAGTATTCGCACAAGTAGCGCGTTGAACTGAATGATGACTAATGCCACCGCGATAGAAGGAGACAGATACATTGCGACACCACAAAACAGGCGATGAGCGGTTATTTACACAACAATATAAGCATGCAAATGGTAGACAAGCATAATCTTGCAAATTGTGTGATAAATGATAAAAATTCTGAACAAATGAGTACCTTATGATTATTTTCCTTTACATGGTCAAGCTGTTTATTAGAAGGAGAATACATGTCGTTAAATAATGGATATTATGCACACAAATTATTACCAAAGGACAGAGACAGTATACAGAGATGGGACATTAGGGGAGATAATAAATATGTATAAAGCAAGTGCACAAAAAAGGATAAATAATGTTAGTTGTTACAATATGACACAAAGAAAAATGAGTTATGTATGTAGGTATGTGGGAAAAGGCATAGGATAATGCTGTGTAATTATGTGTATATACCTCAAAGCCACGCTTTCTGCGACGACAACACAAACAGGCGCCAAGAAGAGTTCCAATTCCCATAAAACTCAGCACAGCAAAAAGCACTGTAGTTCCTGCGCTCCAAGAGCCTAAAAGAAGCACAATCACGCTTTATCATCAGCTCATTTCCTAAAAAATCTCTTCATATATGCAATACCAAAAATAAGAACTTCCACTTTTATGCTTCTCTCAGACTATTTCCCATTTCAAGTTTAATATATACAGCCGTATGAATTCTCCATACAATTTTTAAACCTTCAAATTCTAAAACCTGTCACACTTTATTGGAAGTCACAACAACTTTGCATAATCGGGGGTGTTGGTGTTATACCACTTAAAATATGTAAATATTTCACTAGTGAAATTTGCAGTAAAAAGTACAATAATCAATTTTAAAGTTTGTATGAGTAAGAACGCTTAAATACAAGGATTTATTGTGTATAATTAATATGCTAAAATTGGAATATAGAGTGTAAGTAAATATAGAAACAATTTTACAGACTATAGAGTATCACAAGCCTACCACAAAATATATGCAGCATAACTATTCTTTCCTACCATTAAGGAAGAGCCGACGTATTTTGTGTGAATCTGGAATTTAAGTATGTGGCTTTTTCCAACTTATCTCGGTGCTCGTCTTGCCTTGAGTACAATTTTATCAACGGAATGAGAGTGAATGAAATAATTTGCTACAGAGTCATTCCAATTTTACACAACGCTTTTATAGACAACAACCACGAGCCCCTGTCGCAGGTCGAGCAGAGTTGGAAGAAAATTATCTTTTTTTAAAGCAGTTTAAGAAGACTTTGCGGCAGTAAGCCCACTCTCTGCATGCTCGCAAAATGTTATTTTTCTCAACACCTTTTCGCAGCTTAAACACGTTTTTTTTTTCATCTACACGCTTTCATTGAGAAATGAGCGAGAAAGATAAATAATTGGTGCCTTTTCACGGCTAATATCGCTCGATTGAGTAATCACACAGCGTTTTCGCCTTCTCGCGTTGGTTTCTTGGGGACAATAAAATGCAGACCGAAAATGTGAAGGAGAAATGCATCAGAAACGCGCAGAATTATTATTTTGCTGTTGTTGACCAAAAGTGAATTTTAACAGCCACAATTAATATTTATGGGAACCATGTTCAAGCCTTCTCGCTCGCTCAGCGGAAAATTTCGCTTTCATCAGAGCAACGAAGTAGGTGCCCTCCAACCACCACTCAACACCGCACCCCCGTGTATATGAAAGACTCAAGAAGCTATCCCCTACAAACAGTACCTGAGCGCACGGGGTCTCCATTGGAAATGGGCATTGCTGCACAAATGCTCAATTGCAGGCCGACTATAAAGCTTCCCAGCTTCCACATCCTCGCCATTGAGTCCTCCGGAAGGCTATTTCCTTGATCCAAAAGCAATTATGAAGCTATCCTGCGACACAGCACCTTTACACCTCCATGGCGTGACTTTATGTGGAGATATATTGAAAATTTTGTCTCTATCGCGTGTGAAAAATTCACTGCCACATTTCCATTGTTTTTTTCACAGGCACACTGCCAACTAAATCCCAATATAGATTCACCAATCGATGCTAAATCACCTACACTTTCCCTTTTTTACACAAAACGCCACATTTCAGTCGTATATTTGTTACATCAAATTTTTTCAAACAGCACTGCAGATGAAAGAAAACTCAGGAGGAGCCATTATTATCTTTGACACCGTGACGTCACCATAATTTGTGCCAGTCCCAAAGTGTTATACATATAACTGTTATACGCCCGCGAATTGCCGATGACAGGTTTTGTCTCCAAGCGCGCTATTTAACCATCATTTGAATTCTCGCAGCCCTCCACGTATTTCTGCAGCAGGTGACGGAGCTCCTCATTTTGTCGTCTCAATTGACCACACTCAGAATCCAATTTTTCTCGCTCCCTGAGTACATTTAGATACTCTGTTAGCCCATATTCCAGTCCTTGCCATAAGCGTTCCTTCTCCTCGGGAAAAGCACAACGAAATTGTTGCCAGAAGTTGCGCACTTCCGCAGGATCCAGCAATCTCGACAGAGTCAATCGCATTTTAGACGTGATCTCTGGATCATTCTCGGTGATGTCATCATCCTTATGTTCCTCCATAAACTCTCTGAGGACAGAGAGAACGTTTGGCATCTCCAACACAAGCTCATGAACGGAATCAGCAGAGTTCTCACACTCGTGACTCTCCTGAGTTGAAATTTCCGTATGTTTCTGCGAACAATGTGCGCAATACGCATACTGAAGAAAGTGCTGCTGAACTTCCAATAAATTTTCAACATTTTCAATTCCAAGTGCTGTGAAAATATTGTTCACTTTCACTAATAGCTTTTCATCGTCCTCTCGGAGAGGTCCAATCAACTTCTCGAGTTTCTTCTCAATCAGAAATTCACTTTGATCTGCTATTTTCTCGCAGATTTCACGCAAGATAGATGACTCCGACGCATTTTCGGCCGTTAGAGATAACTTCTGACCACGTGATTGACTGAGATTCTTCTTTTTTTCCTGTTCAATCGTCTCGCATGCCGCTTGAAATGAAGGTAAATCCTCAAGGATATTCAACTGGGGAACACTGGATGGTGCTTCGGCTCCTAATTGATTAACGTGGAGTTGTTCATCAATTTCCAAAATCTGATTAAGCAACTTCATGGCCTCAGAGTAATTCATCTCCCATATTCCACGATAATTGGAATCGCTGGTGTCCGCGAAGATTGCCGCCGATGCCTCAATATCACGAACCTGAGTTTGAAGCCTAGATATCTCAGTCTGGAGCTTTCCACACTCACCGTCGCATTGAGCAGTGGTATCCTTGATCTTCCTTTTTAATGTCACAATTGCTTCACTCATCCTCATGAGACGTTTCTTCTGCTGGCATCGAATTATCACGTTCTCTTCCTCTCGTCGTTTCAGGACTTCAAAATTGTAATCCAGTTTCTCTGAGTTAAGTAGAATATTTGCCTTCACTCGTTGTAATTCTAACTGGAGAGCTTCATTGTCATGCTCCAGGTTTATTTTAGTGGCTCTTGTGAGTTCTTCATGTTGAACGGTGATCCTTTCAATTTCCGCTTCAAAAAAGTCAGACTTCTCCTTAGCATTCAACAACTTTTTCTTCTCCTTTTCCTGACGCTCACCGTATAGATCCTCCCACTTCTTGTTAATTCCAGCCTTAATCCGTGATCTTTCTTGGTCAATTGTTTGTTGTAGAACGTCCAAGTGCTTCCTGTACGCTGACTTCATTGCTTCAATGTGATGATCCACTCTCTCTACAAGGCACACAATGTCCGATGCCTGCTTCTCCTGATCGTGATAGTATCTCTCATCAGCCTTCTTCAACTCCTTCCAACACTCCATGATAATATCATCTTTTTGATGCGTCAGCTCCCGGATACGCTCTTTTTGTTCTTCCAGTCCTTCGTGCATGTTGAACGGATCCTTTACAGTCTCTAATTCTTTCCATCGTTCTGTGATACCCTGAAATTTTAATGTCGCCGTCTCTGATTCAACATTCAATTTATCCAGAAGGTCCTCCCGGAGTTGTGCCTCATCTGCGCGGCGATCAATTTCACGCTTGTCATTGGCAATTCGGATATTAGTCACCAGCTCATTTCCGTCTCTCAGAAGTTCGCCGAGTACCTTATTACTCTCATCGATCCTTCGCTGAATGGCATCCTTCTTCAGATCATCAGGATTTATCCTGAAAACAGAAATAAAATTATGTCTGGAATTTTCATGAGAACAAAATTGTGGCAGTTACGTGGGTAATTGCGTAGATTTTTTAGACTTCAATTTTTCCACCACCATTGCCAAATTCACTTCCAACTCATCCTTGTTGAGTGCATTGGACTCTATGAAGATCCTGGGCAGGGCAATTTCATCGGTTCTTTCCTCAGTTCCGTCCATTGTCACTACAATTCTCACCTCAAATATGAATTTTTTCTCAGTGATTTGTTGATTTCAAATTGATTTTTTACTTCACAGAATGCTCTGCAGATGGCAATCAGTCGCGTTAAAAGTCACAACATAACCTCACTTTGCCGGTGAATTTCCCAATGTATCCGCCCTAACTTAATGGAAAAGCGTGTTTACATTTAATTTAAACAACACAGTAATCATACAGTAATGACCAGTGAATTCAACAAATCCACTCTCCCAGTGCCAGACATTAGTGATGAATTTTCGCACTCGTTCAAGAGCCAGAGAGCAAGCTCAAGAAAGAAGCCGCCGGCTCTCAAGCGCATATATTGCAACATTAATCGCTGTTCTTCCAAAAGAGCCTTGGCAATCTCCTTCAAAGGTTCTCTTGAGAATGCCCAACTCTCATTCATGTACGAACCTGAGAAAACTGAGTCATACTTTGATCAATGTTTCGAGAGAATCAGCAAGATTGGCGAAGGATCTTTCGGGGAAGTGTTCAAAGTGCGCTCCCGTGAAGATGGTTTACTCTATGCTGTGAAGAAGTCCAAGCAGTACTTCCGGAGTGAGAGCTATCGTGAGGAAAGGCTGAAAGAGGTGAGGAGGCACGAAGAGTTCTCCAGCCATGAACACTGTGTCACGCTGCACAAAGCGTGGGAGGAAAGAGATCGCCTTTATATCCAGATGGAACTTTGCCAGAGTAGTCTGGAAACATATGTGATGAAGCAATGTCAGATTCCAGAATCCTTGACCTGGTCATTCCTGCTGGATCTCTTGCTGGTTAGTAATGAAAGTATGTCTCAAATACTCTTTATGTGACCCTTTTGGTAATTTTCAGGCTCTCAAAGGACTTCATGACGGAAATCTCATTCACCTGGACATCAAGTTGGAAAATATTTTAATAACTGAGGATGAAGTTTGCAAGCTGGGAGATTTTGGCCTGGTTTTTGACCTCAATCATGTGAGTAAAAAACCGCATATAATAGAAGTCTCTTAAAAGAAATTTGTCCCACGACAAAACTAAATTATCTAAATTTTTAATCAAAAATGAGAGTTTATTTACCTACTCAAACAACACTCTGCCGCCCAAATCAAATATGTAAAGAATAATACAAAAAGAAGCTGTGGTTAATTCACAAGAAATGCCCATTTAATTTTGATCGACCATCATAAGATTATTAAATCATAAAAAGCACTCACGGAAACCCAATGAGAGTATTGTTTTATTGTCATGCTAACTAACATTCCAAGTTAGATCCTGTTTGGAAAATTTCATCTCATTTGATATGGAGAAGTTATTAAATTATTTTATGATATTCAACTGTTTGTAAAACGATTGATGTGATCTGCAGGAAAACAAAGAGTCCGCCATGGAGGGAGACTCACGTTACATTGCACCTGAACTGCTGCAGGGGATCTTTACAAAGGCTGCCGATATTTTTAGCCTGGGCATCACCATTTTGGAGTTGGCGTGCAATCTTGAGTTGCCTTCAAATGGAGTTCTGTGGCAACAGTTGAGAGCTGGCATCCTCCCGAAAGAATCTAAATGCAGTAAGTTAGATTAATCTTCCGCTCTGAGGCGATTTGTAAGACTTTCTCTCAATTACAGTGCTATCAAAAGAGCTGTACAGTGTCATCAAATGGATGATGAATCCCGATTGGCAGCAGAGGCCATCCGTTGATGCTCTTCTGCGCTATCCACGAGTAGCCAATTTGCTAACGAAACGAACACGTTGGTGGTCCATAACAAAAATTGTAAGCCCTTTGACAAAAACCATTTGGTTTTATTTTTATTATTGATACATTTCTTAAACCACTCCGCTTGTTTCTTTTTTTTTTCAGAGAAAAGTAAAGCGAATGACTTTGCAACAGCTTTCGAATAAGTGGCACAATTTTAAGAAAACCTTCCGACTACTTGTGACTCAAATTAGTTTTGCTATGCTCAGCTGTGTCAGGCGGAAGCATAAAAATGAATATGAGCAGCATAATTCCACGTCACCTTTGGAGATGAGTGACGATGATCAGCACATAAGTACTCCGATTTTAGACGATAGCAGCATCAACATGTCGGAGGTGGTGAATTCAACGCCAATCTTGAGCTACGATAAGAGAAAAGCGAGGTTAGCAAATGACAGTCCACACAGTCCTCAGAGCAATTCCGGCTTTGAAGAGTTTAAAAATCACTTATCGCGCAGTCCTTCCAGTTTTACACCAAGATCGACACACGAATATTCGTCGTTGACATGCAAAAAACTGTTCATGCACTCCGATGATTCCGATTAGTCCCTCTTAAAATAACTCTTAAAAAATGTTCTTTATCGTGGTGTTTTTTTCTCTTATGAAATATCAGATATTTCCAAGATAGTAATTTTCTCTGTCTATTGTGGTAATACAAAAAAAAAAACAGGAGAACGGTGTTTCTATCGAAACAAAGCTCATTTATAGATTTATTGTTGAGATGAAAGGCAAAACAGCAAAAACGATCATTGGGAAAAATTTACTATCTCACTTTTGTTTGTTCTTATACTAACATAAATTAATTTTAATGTGATACAAGCTAAAATAAAACGATTACTGAATGGTTTCTATATTCATATTTCTTCACGTTATTGATCACTTTTTTTGTAGAGCGTTTGTGGGGCCCAGATTGTTATATGAAATGCACTTCAATCAAATGAGCAGATTTGTATACATTCTAGATCACGAGGAATCGGTTACATACATTTTACAGTGAGGACATATCTGAATTATACCAGAAGTCTCAAATTGTCTATGATTCGATGATTTTTTATTACGTCACATTTATCTACATAGAAAGTTTCCCATGCTATTTTAGCTCTGAAAGTAATTCTTTGGAGACTAAAAAGTGCCGGAGTAAAAAATAGAGAGATTTTCTTGAGTGTGCCTTTTATTGAAATACTCGACGATGAGGTATTTAATGGCAATGAACTACGTTGATTAATTCATCAACATTAATTTCCTAAACGTCCCATACAATGATTGTCCGAAGAGGCATCAAAGAAGTTACCTTTTCAAGGTTCCACAATTGTGGGCATGAGTGAAGAAGTCAGTGCACTTTGAACTGGACAAAGATGATGAGTGTTATGCGGCCCAGTGTGAGTAAATGGTACAAGTCCCTAGCCGGACCTATCCAAAAATTCTCGCGCCAGAGTGCATATAAAAAGTGAAATACAAGAAAACTCGAACCCTCCAACATGATGAGTTGACTCGTATGACTCACAGACCTTTTGGTATATTGTAATTTTTTCCAGCAGAGCGAGAAAGCGAAACTCCAGACCATACCCATATTCTGAGAAATTCACTGAAAACGAAATTGAAAGATCCTCCCACACTGGATCATGCAAATTTTCTTCTCCTTTGCACATGCATGCATTTAAGTTGCAAATTTCACGATGCCTTTCTTCGTAGCAGACACTTTTAAGTCATCTGTGATGTCTCTATGTCATTTAAAGGAAAAGTGGTGCTGATATAGTGTACTTGATCCCACTTTTCGACGCATCACTGAACACTTTTGGAAAGTTTAATAGCACTTTGGTGAGCACAGTGTCTTCTGAAAGTGGGAATTGAGTGAAGAAATACTACTATTAAATTCACAACGACCGTGATGGGAAATTTGGTGGAAAAAGCGAAGGGGTTATTCATTTTATGCAGAGCAAATCTTTCTTTTCTCTCGCAAAAATTATGGATACGCGGAGATTCTCAAGAGTTTTGTGATGATAAATGAGCGTAGACACACTTTAGTTTCATTTGACACTGTTTCTCGCAGACGATTATTACTTTTCAGCATCAGTGGTATGAATGAACTTCACTAATTTTCGATTGAAAATTTAATATCTCCTATTGGCATCCGCGAAGGAATAATGGTAATTTTTTATATCCAAAGAAGTTCCAATTAAGAACCGAAAGGTTCTGAAATGGATTAACCAGGGATAAAATTCCCAACTAATCCAATTTAATTTTAGGCATAGAAAACAAAGCTTATGACAACCAAAGCTTTAATTTTTTCTCCAATTAGAAAAGATTTTACATGATAGGTATGCTCAAACTTTCCACTTTTACCAAGACATTTAATAAAATCTTGACTCAATAAACGATTTCCCAAATGAAAGGAAGAGAGACTCTTAAACTCAATGCCTCATCTACTGATTAGCGCTCATTGGACATTAAATGTCATGTCATTAAACTGCGAATGACTTTATTTATTGGATTCCGTGTCACTTTAAAAATGAAATCAAGAAGTAATTTATTGGATGCGGTCCACAATTGTAGCATCTATAAAAGTGGCTCTCTTTAATAATCCTCACCTCGATGCCCTATAATTTTTATCTCATTTCAACTCCTTTCCATTTGTTCTCACTTTAACGTCTTTTCATTTTGTGTCACCCGCAACTTTTACATCTCTCTCTCTCTCTCTCTCCCTCTTGGCTCATTATCTTGCATGGAGATTTTTCCATCGAGAAAACGAGAGAGTGTCATTTTTCGAAGCGAAAAGTGTGCAAAAATCACACAATTAATCAAAAGCGCAAAAAGTGTGGAAGAGAATCTCAATGATTGGAGCAACGTTGCTCCAGATCCACACCTTCTTGGCTCGATTCAGCCAGCTTTCCGCAATATACTTTTTTGGATTTCTTTCCGGAACATCATTTCCATAATACCCAGACTCTAAAATTATATTGTGAGCTTGTGCAGACAATAGTGGTGAAATTGCGTAAATTGTCACCTCCCTAGTATTTCGTGAAATTCACTGAAAATCGTGTGCATTTCACTGATCCGCTGAGTCCCAGACAGCTAATCACATGTCTTTTGTAAAGGGAAAATTAGCATTTAAAATAAATTACCTATATATGGCGCTGTAATGTGTATAGTCACATGAAATGTGTGTGCGAAGTATTCAGCAAGTGTATTAAAAAAAATAAAATATCATTGTTTGGAGATAAAAGAGAAAATATCGCGCGGGTGAAAAGCGACTTACGCGCCAAATCCATATGAATAATATACCTTTTTAAAAATAATGTGAAAGAAGAAAATATTTGGAATTCCCTCCACTGACTCACTTTTTTGCCATTATTTGAATAAAAAAAAGAGAATATACTGCCTTTTATTTGAAACTCTGTCTCCTCAACTCAGCATTGTATGAAGTTAGAGGCAAAAAGAAAAGAAGGCAGCAAATTGTAAGTGAAAAGAATCTCAGTGGATTCCAGAGTAGATACTTTCTGCAAGATCGTGAGCGTTTTCAACGCCTCTCTTTGGGATGCTCTCAATTACTCGCGATCGGCTAATCGTCAGAAGAAGAGGGAAAAAGTACATTTCAAGGAGGTTTCTCCACCCGACAAATTCCTCTGACAGAGCACGATTATTTAGACAAAATGGAAAGTTTGGAGAAGGAATAACAGCTTAATTAAAGGCAAGATTTGAGTCAATAGAACAGAATAAATTAAACTTAAAATTGGTTTTCAAAAATGAAACATGCCTTTTGGCAATTGCTAATGCTAAAAGAATTAGTTTAACTTATCTAAAAGTCAAAATCATACGCTGCCTTATCACTAGCGCATATATATGTGCATATAAAATCATATCAAAAATTAAACTGTCTAATTAACTAATTTTTGCTTATTAAAAAACATTCATCTTCATTTAATAAACCAAAATATGTTACTTAAATACCTACACAATTTTCACTTTGTATAAAAAGTCAATAGCCGAAGAAAATATTCCAAACACATCCAATTACGTGCAAAGATATAGTGCTTTTTGCCTGTCACTACCAACATTCGCTGAGCTGGTGAACCCGTATGGCGATGACAATAATTAATTAAATTAGAAAAAATATGTATAAGCGGTGTTATCATGCAATAGGAAAGCGCATGGGAAATGGATAAGAATATGCGTCTCTTTTTCTAGAGCCAACAATTGCCACCCACAATACAGGTGATTGTTTAAATGAAACAATAAAAGTAGCGAAAGTTGCATTCTCTACACAGCCAATGCAGGTTGTATTGGGTGGGCGAATGTACAAAGGTGTGAGATTTCGCACACCAGAAAGGAGCGATGATGCCCCAGGTCCGGTATGATTAGCATATATTTTTGGGTCTCCGTGCTGAGCAATTATTTGTTGGTAAGTGACGCAAAAGGCTCATTCTGCCATCAACATATATGACACGGAGGGTAGGTTGTTGTGCAATTTCTTTGCGAATCAAATAAACGAACACACGCAAGAAAGCCTTTTTTCCTCAAATTCACTTAACGCTGCAGTGATCACAGAACGGAAATTGTGGATAGAAATTCACAAAAAAAAATTGGAGAAGCCCTCGATGAAGTGATGATTCTCTCCCCAGAGGAATTTCATGACAGACCACACTTCGTGTATCGTTTTTTTTGCGGTCCGTGCTTTTCCATGTGGCGAAAAATGCCCTCTCTTCCTTCACTCTGTTAGCCGTTCGGCAAAACAGAAAATTTAGTGGTTTTTCGGGTGACCCACTTTCTTCTTCGTTCGTCACTTTTGTGTATTCACATGGCCAGACACATAAGGTTAGCAGCTCGCAAGATGAAGCAAAGAAGGCACAAGAAGTCTGCTCTGGGAGCTCACTTTACGTGTTTACCGAATAGCACTTGCCGTTTTGTGTGCGCCCAAACACTTCTTACTGCCCAGCCCCGACAATTATAAAGAAAGTAAAAATTTGTTTAATGGGACCGGTAGGAATTATTCGGTAAATTTATGAGATGAACTGCGGATTTTTAATTATCCAATTAGTTTCGAATGAGAAATATCTTAAGACCATTGATCTTCAAATCCCTATAAGTGATTTCATGCCACGGTCTATCGGATTGTCTCTCTTCCAGTGCATAAAAATGAGGAGGAAATTTTATATTTTTATCGAGACTTATGTAGAACGTGTGGGGCATAAAGTGATGATTTTTATTCCATAGCGGAGGACATATCCTACTTGTGATCAATTTGTACCATCATCACATGCAATGACTCATATATTTATTCATTGCTGTATGCCTATATTACAAAATATGCTCAAATAAGCGGACAGAGTGAGATCCGCTATGGAGTAGGATGTGTGTCTTGCTGGTGATGGTGATGAACAAAGGCCAGCAGAAAGAAGAAAGTGAGATTTGTCGAGGAATGTCAGGTGGTGATCAAGCGATCAAAGTAAATCGCTCTACCTCACCATTGAAACATTATAATTTATATTATTTCAGACTAGGTACACTTCAAATAGTAAAATAAAATGATCATCATTCTGACCTGAATTCTGGATGGACGTTGAAGATGGTGAAAAGGTTTTATTGGTGCTATTTCAAATAATGTTTATGCATACATGTCTTAATGTGAATCGAATCTGGATCGCGTGCGATCAACTTCAAGACAATCATGTAATGATCTACAAATTGATGGTTGATAGGATATCCAAAGGTGAAACCCGAACACTCCTCAGCCATATTATATTAACATTTCCCATCACTTCAAATAGATGCACTTTCTCAGACTCGTGACTCGTGACAAAGAGTGTAAAATTGATAATTATCTAATAATTCAATCATTTAGCAAAATTTATCGTTTTTCTCTCGCTAACACTCATCTCTTAACACTCATTTTTCTTGCTGTGCACATGGAATCTGATCACGCTGAATTGCAAAATTTTCACAATGATTCTTTCATATTGATCTGGCAGTTGAGCTGAA